CTGCTGTGGTATAATTTAATTGTTTATACTTAAAGAAAATATGGGGAATTATATTTAGCATTACTTGTCATACCCATGAGGAGTTCCCAATAATAAGCAAAAGAAGAAATCTGGACATTTTAAAAGACTTTAAAAACAGTTTCTCTCTCGCTCTCTTTTTTGCTTATTTATAACAATAGATGTGAGCTGTAAGGATAGAAAGTTAAGAAATTTTAATGCAATTATAATTAGATTGTTTTTTTCTTTAATAAAGATTTTATTTATTTATTTGAGGGAGAGAGAGAGAAAGAGAGAAAGAAAGCACAGAGAGAGAGAGAGTGAGAGGGAGAAGTAGACTTCCCACTGAGCAGAAATCCTAATTCAGGACTCAGTCCCAGGACACTGAGATCATGACCTGAGCCGAAGGCAGATGCTTAACAAACTCAGCCACACAGATGCCCCTAGATTAAGTTTTTTCTATTGAGGTACAATTGATGTATAATAGCTTATTAGTTTCCAGTGTATATCACAGTGACTCAATATTTTTATACATTAAAAAATGATCCCCACCATATAAGTCTAGTTACCATTTGTTACAATACTGTTGACTATGTTCCCTATGCTGTACATTACAATCTCACTGACTTACTTATTTTATGACTGCAACTTTGTACCTCTTAATCCTCATCATCTGTTTTCTCCGCCCCCTCCCCCACTCGGCAAAACTTCCTCCCTCTGGTAACCAACAGTTGGGTACCTGTATCTATGAGTCTGTTTCTATTTTGTCTTGTTCATTTGTTTTGATTTTTAGATTCCACATATAAGTGAAATCATATGGTATTTATCTTTCTCTAACTTATTTCATAAATGCTAAAGCATATACTCTCGCTCAATCTAAGTGGTCACAGATGGTAAAATTTCAGTCTTTTCCATGGCCAAGTAATATTCCATATACTGGCTGTTGTAAATAATACTACAATAAAACATTGGAGTGTATATATCTCTTTTAATTAGTGTTGTTATTTTCTTCAGATAAATACCCAAAAGTGGAATTGCTGGATTGCATGGTAGTTCTGTATTTAGTTTTTTGAGGAACCCCCATACTGTTTTCCACAGTGGCTGCACCAATTTACACTCCCACCAACAGTGCCCAAGGGTTCCCTTTTCTGCACATCCTCACCAACACTTGTTGTTTTTTGTTTTTTTGATGAGCGCCCATCCGGCAGGTGGGAGGTGATATCTCACTGTGGCTTTGATTTGCATTTCCCTGACGATGGGTGGTGGAGAGCCTTTTTTTCTTTTTTTTTTTTTAAGATTTTATTTATTTATTTGACAGAGAGAGATCACAAGTAGGCAGAGAGGCAGGCAGAGAGAGGAGGAAGCAGGCTCCCCGCCGAGCAGAGAGCCCGATGAGGGGCTCGATTCCAGGGTCCTGGGATCATGATCCGAGCTGAAGGCAGAGGCTTTAACCCACTGAGCCACCCAGGTGCCTGAGAGCCTTTTTTCATATGTGTGTTGGCCATCTGTATGTCTTCTCTGGAAAAATGTCTATTCACATTCTCTGTCCATTTTTTAATCAAAATTCAAAAATTTTATAAAAATTTTTATTATTTTTCCATAGGTAAAATAAAACAATTTTAAAAGGTAACATATTCCAAGATACTTAAGATACAGTTCCAAGAGAAAAATGAAAGCTCTGCAATGAAAGTTTGTGCCCCCTTAAGATCAGATTTCACCATTCAGGCGATTCAAAATTAACACCACATAGTCCCCAATCTGATTAAAAAATGTTCACCAATAATTTAGAGAATCTGAAGAAGCCAAATGGGAAGAGAAAATTTTGCGGGTTTGCATGTACTTCTACCAGTAAGTTAATGAGAATGATTCTTGAGAAGATAACCGATAAAGGCCATGATAGCTATAAGACACAGAACCAGTCATTCAGTAATTCAGGGTTTAATGGCTTTTTTTGTTTTGTTTTTTTCTTTCTTAGGCTTCTGCTTAAAATACAACTAATGAATCATTGAACACTTCATCAAAAACTAATGATGAAAAAAAAACTAATGATGTACTACTATAGGCTGGCTCATTGAACATAATAAACAAACAAATAAATAAATAAAAGCATAATTTTGGGGAAGAAAACTCCAAACAGTATTCTTGATTTCTGCCGCTAAAGCTGATCCCGTCTAAATATCATGCCACTCTTACTTCTAAGAAAAAGGCACAGAAAGTGGATACATGTTTTTCAAGAGGCTTAATCTGGAGGAAGAAGAACTAGCCTCCCTAGAGAAACTTCAAATGGTGATGAAAAGTTCCCCAACAAAGTAGAAAATAGATTTGTAAAATATGTTAGGAATTTTTACTGTGTGCTGCGCCTGGGTTGCTCAGTCGGTTAAGCATGTGAGTTTGCTTTTGGCTCAGGTCATGATCTCAGGGTTGTGAGCTCGAGCCCTGCGTCATTGCACTCTACACTCAACAGTGTACATGGGATTCTCTCTCTTTCTCCCTCTGGTCCTCCCCGCTCACCACGCTTTCTTTCTTTCTCTAAAATAAATAAATAAATCTTAAAAAAATAAAATGTGAGTCCTCACTTATTCCAAATAATTTTTACTAAAATCTAAAATAAAAAAATTACATAAGAACTAAAATTCAGTTGAGATGGCCATGATTTAAAAAACCCAGCAGTAAAAACAAAACAAAACAAAACAAAACTGGAAGTTCATTGAGACTCAGGCACTAAAGATAGATTAACTTCAACTGTCACTGCTCCTATTTACCCACTGCCTTTGAGAGACTTTAAATACAAGCATGTCATGTTCACAAGGATTTGACTGCAAATCACAGTCTATAGAGACCAATTTCTATGTAACACTATTTTGGAGTGCTAAAAAATTTTCAACTTCAACTGCTCAACTTCACAGATATCCGTTCATCTGAAATGTCTAAAGCATCCTTTGAACTTCTTTGCTCTGATGTTCCTTTTAGATCACAACACAAGGAAACCATTGGCAAAGGTTTCCTGAAGTAAGCAAACATTTCCCCTATGCCCAGGTATCCCATGCCCCTGGGTCTCCCTAACGCTTAGGATCTATCTGATCTAGCAGGCAGGGAGCAAACTCATTTACCTTCTCCCCAATCTACTAGATGTGTTTAAAAATTACTTCCTAACAGGTGCCTTATAATGCAGTGTGCCTGCAATGTTAACACTGGTCTTTCCGTTTAGGCTTCTATTCTTCGGGAGCAGCAGGTTCCCTCCTGATGTCTTTGACATCATTGGTTGTGCCCATCAAATAGAATTCTTTGTCGCGAACAAGACTGACAAAATGAGCGAGGCGGTTGGACTTGGAAAAAAAAGCTGAAACGGCAGCGATATCCCAGGTATCTTTTCTGTGGACGCTCTGCCGCTTGAGAGCTTTTTGAAATGGTCATCTGTTATGTCATCAGCTTGGAAAACTGCAAGTGCAGACTCCAGCAGGGAGGTCAGACTCTCTCCAGTTCACACACACCTGGTCAGGGAGCACTGGGTTCTTCAAGTAGACCCTGTACCTGGCACTGTGGACAACCCCACTGCATGGGCTCTTCTTGGCCAGGCTGGTCACTACGATGACCAGTTCCCTGTCAGATCGGCTGAGCTGGCCTGTTTCTTTGTTGCAGATGGCATTGTAATAAGCAAAGACGGCTCTGAGTTCTAATGGCTGGTGAGACAACAATTTACATTTGGTAAAAATCCTGTCAGCGCTGACAGGACTCTGAGGGAGCGAAGCACAGACCTGCTGGCACCCTGTTTGAAGCCAGGAGGCCTTCCTGCAGGTGCCTGCCCTCTCACAGCTTTTTTTTTTTTTTTTTTTTTTTTTTCCAATACAAAGTCATAGAATTTCTTTCTACATTCTGGATATTAACCCTTTATTGGATATATGATTTGCAAATGTCTTCTCCCGTTCAGTAGGCTGCCTCTTCATTTTGTTGATGGTTTCCTTTGCTGTGCAGAAGCTTTTAGATTGATGTAATCCCATTTATTTATTTTAGCTTTTGTTGCCCTTGCCTGAAGAGGCTGGTCCAAAAAAATTCTGCTAAGACTAATGTCAAAGACCTTACTGCCTATATTTTCTCCTAGGCATTTTTGGTTTCAGGGGTTACAGTTTTCAATCAGTTTTGAATTTATTTTTGTGTATGGTGTAAGATAGTGGTCCAGTTTGCCCAACCCCATTGATTGGAGATACTCTTCAGTGCTGGCTTTGCTTTTCCGCTATTTAAAGCCAGCTATGGGGACGCCTGGATGGCTCAGTGGTTAAGCGGCTGCCTTCGGCTCAGGCCTTCGGCTCAGGTCATGATCCCAGAGTCCCGGGATCGAGTCCCACATCGGGCTCCTTGCTCAGCGGGGAGCCTGCTTCTCCCTCTGCCTCTGCCTGTGCTCACTCTCGCCCTCTCTCTCTCTCTCTCTGACAAATAAATAAATAAAATCTTAAAAAAAAAAAATAAATAAAGCCAGCTATGACTTCCTCCCCAAGGAGGAATTCTTAGACATTCTTAGACAACTTACTCCAGTGCCTGAAACTGGAGAAAAGTGGGACATCCGGCAATGACAATGCACACCCAAGAATTTCTCTTTATTCATCCAGACACTGACAGGTGGAGCCAAACACGTGGGCAGGGGGCGGTTAAACTGGACTCGGCCTCACCACCTCCTTGCCCCGCCCCCTACGGTCTGGGGGCGGGGCAGGAGGCCAGTCAGTGCCCCGCCCCTCAAGCCTCGCGCCAGAGGGCGGAAGTGACGCAAGCCCAAAGCCATTTCCGGCGGGCCGAAACTAGGAAGAAACTTGGAGCTGCCTAGGCGCTCCTGGCAGGGTCTCTGTTCCTCCTGTGCCCCGTGGCCCGGCAGCGCGAAGCTGTCGGGATCCCTGGCCATGGGGCAGCCCCGGCCCTCCGCAGTGTGAGGCGCGGGGCCTCCCGCGGGCTCCCCGATAGGCCGAGGGCGGGCAAGCGGGAGGCGTCGTTCCAGCTGCGGTCACGGCCGCTGTCGGCCGGGCTCCCGGCATCATGAACATAGACGTGGAGTTTCACATCCGGCACAACTACCCCTGGAGCAAGTTGCCGGCCAACGTGAGGCAGGTACGGCCGGAATCTGGGGTCGGGGCCCCGCCCTGCCGTCACCTGCTCACCTTGCCCCCTGGGCCGGGGCTGCCCCTCGCGGCTGACTCCCCGCCCTTCTCCCGCCGCGGTCTCGGGGCAGTAGTCCCGCAGGTTAGGGGTTCGGAGGGGACGGCTGTGGGGCCACAGGGGCAGGATGGGGCGGTTGGTAAATGGGATGGACTCGTTTGGCCCCTTTGCCTGTAGTCTCGTTTAAACCAGGCGCTGGGTCAGGCGCTGGGTCAGGCGCTTGCGACCCTTGACCTCTAGAACTTCAGGATGGTGAGGAATAGACGAGAAACAAATGACTGCGTTACAGGAGGATAGCCGCGCACACATCCTTGCATTGTAGTGTATGTGGGCACACGGAGGAGTAAGAAATTGTCCAGGGAGTGTCTGGAGCCCGTGTGGAGGAGGCACTGAAATTGGGCCTTAAAGGACGAATGAAAGATAAGAGGGAGTAAGATTTTCCGGGGAGACGGAAAGTTATTTGAAGAACTTGGACGAGTGAAAGAGCGTGTTGAGAGTAGCTAGCAACTTAGTATCCAGGGAGGTGGAGATGTGGGTATACTGGTGTTTGGAGGTGGGAGTTTGTGAGTGAGTGGAGGTTGGTTGGTAGCAGATAAGGCTGGAAAAGCAGGCAGGGCCAGATTTTGAAGGGGCTTTCCTACTCTGATTGTTGGACTGTATCCCCTAGACAGGAAAGGCTTACTAGCGATGTTTGAACAAGAGAGTGCCAGGAGGTTTTTTTGGTTTTTTTTGAGGGTTAATTCTCAATTGCTTGAATGACATTTTTACCAGTTGCTCAGCAAATGTTAACTGAACACCTGATTGCTATGCCTTGTTCCGGGTGTGGGTAGTTTGCCCCGTCAACAAGATAGAGACCCTGCCTTCATGGAGCTTACATCTTAGTAAAGAAAGACAGTAAACAACTAAATGAAGAAGTACCGAACATGGCAGGTGGTGTTGAATCTTAGGAAGATAGTGATAGATGCTGCATATAAGGTGCTGTTTCTCTGGCCATGGATTGAGCTTCAAGTTCCTCCCTTTCTGCTTGGTTCAGAGTGAAATTCTGTTTTCCACTGGCGCTGGGCAGTTATATTTGGAACGTTTGGGATGGTGGTGGTGATGGTATAGGATTATTAGTTTGCTTCCTCACTCAGCATGGGGGCGTAGTACTGGGAAACAAATAATTTAAGGTCCTGGCAATGCATCACGTGACGGGGAAAGTGCTTTCAACGGAAGATACCCAACAAGAAAGTAGCAAGATAAAGGAACTAAGATTTTTTGGTTTTCTGTGGCTGCCCATGTGGCATTTATCTTGACTTGGAAGAACAAAGCTCTAAGCTTGAAAGAGTGTTTCTCTTGTTAAGCTCGAATGAGGGCTTTGGTAGTTTTGTTCTTTGGGGTTTTGGGGCGTATCCGGAGACAGATGGAAGAACCAAGAGTGCTTTTCTTTGTTTCCATCTTTACTTCTCGTTTCACGAATATAAATGTAGCATAATGGAAGAAAGATGGATGATTCAGTTACGTTTAGCATGAATAATGGATCTCAATTAGTATTGGCAAAAGCATATCTAATACTTAGGACTATTAAAAATAATCACAAATCAGTATTATCATTAGGTAGAAATGTGACATTAAATTAAAATTTTGATAAGATCACTTAAAAAATAGTTGCTTAGCTTAGGGTAAACTTCCACTTGGAGAAGGTGTTGGAAAATCCATCTGTACTAGTTACTTCCTTGGACTTTATCTAGCCTTACTACTGTTCATCTAGGTCACGCTCCACCTTGGATTGCTACATCAGCTTTCTGTCTGGTCTTTCTTCTTCACTGAAGGACTCCCTCACATTCATTCCTCATACTACACTGGGGTGAGATTTCTAAAAGGCCCATTCAGTCCTGTACTGCCTGTCTCCTGTAGATTACTTGTAACTTCTTGAATGTCAGAACTCCTCCAGGAAGGATTTCCCTGACCTACATCTAGAGAAGTTGACCCTCCCTGGCACTGTTTCTCATCCATACCACTCAACCCCACTGTGTTGCATTTGCTGCTTACATTACCTGTTTTGCTTTTGTATTTTGGGCACCTATCACATGGTTGGCTTTTAGTAAATATTTTTGGAGCAAGTGAGTGATGGTATTAGTCAGAAGTATTTTTCCAGGACTAAAGCTCAGTCACTTTAAAAGTGGGAAATGGTCCTTGTACGGAAAGAATTTGTTGTTTTTTTTGCCATTATTTAGTATTGCCATTACTAAATACTTTGATAGAGTTTCCAGTAAGCTTTGATGACTTTAATTTAGAAATGACTCATTTACCACTCCTGAAAGCTGTGAGAAGGTGATTTCAGATTTTTCTTAAAAGCGCATGTCTAGTGGTAAGGGGATTCCAGATTTTTACGAACTGTACATAAAGCTTTTATATGGATGGGATGAATGTTTTTATTTGATAATGGGCTGTGCAGGACTTTAAAAAATACATTAAAAGTTGTAGATAAGGCCATTATTTCAAGGTTTTTTGTAGCTTATTAGTTTCTTGTATTCATTATTCAAAAACAATTTGTAGTTATTTTAAGGAAAGTCTTATGACGATGTTCTGTATCATCTAAGAAAGTCAATTAAAAAATTGTGCGTATCTTTATTGTGGGGGGCCGTGATTGGGGTTTGTGGGAGCAAAGTCTTTAGAAAAAAATTCCTTCTGCTATTAGCATAATCTGATGTGCAGTGGTTGTCTGATAGCCAGTGGCTACGTCTCTCTGAGTCTGTTACGGTGCCTTTTATGTGCCGCTGTACTTCATCTGTCAGACCTGGTCCTTATTTCTGCAGGGTCAGTGGGTCTCAGAGTAAAATGACCCTTCTTTTAGTTTGCTTCCTGTGGTGGTAACAGTGTTTCAGAATGTGAATGGTGGGAAATTTGGGGGAGGAGTGGAGAGAAGCCAAGGAATCTTTGTGAACAGAGCAGTTTTATTTTATGTATCTGGGTAGTGAAGAACAAAATCAACTTCTAATAGAGTTTTTAGGTGTTTGTGGGCCCACATATGTATTGCTTGATCAGGGTCAGTTGTTACTTAATTCCTGGCACGAAGGCTTAGATGTTGAAACGTTGCATCCTCTAACTGGCTTATAATTAACAGGCCCTTATGTTTTGTATGAGTGGCTTGATTACACTTTTTGTTCTGGCGTTCCCAGGAATGAAGTTAGAAAGGCGGAACCTGGTTGTAAGTTGAGATAAATTAAGAGATTTATTTTAAAACAGAAGAGCAAACCTCAAGTGCAGAAGATGCTCCAGGTTCTACCAAAATCGTGTGCTGTGTGCGTCTGTGTTTTGTGTTCTTTGGGAAAGAGGCTTACTTCTCTGGCAACAAAGCTAGAGAAAACCCTTTACAAGTTTTGTAGCAAACCCAGCATTTGAATTCCCCTCAACATCTTTATTACCCAGGTTTTGGTGCTGCATAGAGGATGTGGAGTAGTTTCTCTGTGATGACCTTTGCTCCTAACCTCTGCAAATGTTAAGACGGATGAAAAAAATAAAAGCACGTATATTCTGTCAGTAGTACGGGTCACTGTTTAGCCGGTGAAAACTAATTAACATAGGTTCAGGAAGAAAGATTTCCGTTTTCTCACATGTCACTTTTTTGTTAAAGTACATCCCACCAGTGGTCCAGTTATGGGCCAGTTTATTCTATGTCTTAACCTGTCTTGTGAAGATGGCCTTCGGTGAAGGTATGTGTAGAAACATTTACCTTGGCTTTCAGACCTGTGGGTAGGAAGTATAATAACTGAATCCTCTGATCTTTCTGCCATTAGTTTCTAAGATGTCTGATTTTATATTACAGCGTGTTGGAAAGATCATACCTAGTAATTAAAAAGAGGGAGAGCAGTCATGTTAAATTGAGTTTGTGGTTGCACATTGAATGTAATGTTGACTGTAATCAGACATACTTGTTCCTTGTTTTCATGAAAGCCCAATTTTGAACTTAAAACACCAAAGCACAGCCAGAAAGGTTTTTGCCTATTAAAAAGTGTATCAGAATTCTAAAATTGTCTAAAATTTATTTTTAACAAATCCGTAAGGAGAAGGTGTTTTTTTAGAAGTCATCTTATTGGGGCACCTGGGTGGCTCAGTCGGGTAAGCACTGGACTCTTGATGTCCACTCATGTCATGATCTCAGTGTCCTGAGGTTGAACCCCTGCATCTGGCTCCGTGCTGAGTGGGCAGCCCACTTGAGATTCTTTTTCTCCCTCTCCCTCCACTCCTCCCCACACTTGCATGTGTGCGCCTGCTCTCTCTCTCTCTCAAATAAGTAAATCTTAGAAAGAAAAGAGGAAAGAAGTCATCTTATCATTTAGAGGTACATTTGAAATGTACATTCTCCAGAGACATTAATTTTTAATAATCATAGCACTCAAATGTAAATAATTATCAGACAGGGATCTGTTTTTAGTTGCCACTCTTAAATTAAAAAGATAAGTAGGTGCAAGAAACCATCCATTCATCCATCTATCCATCTGTCCACTTATTCAACACACACAAATTAGGAACAGTCAAGAAAGAAATCTTTTTTTTTTTTTTTTTTTAAGATTTTATTTATTTATTTGACAGAGATCACAAGCAGGCAGAGAGGCAGGCAGAGAGAGAGGAGGAAGCAGGCTCCCCTAGAGAGCAGAGAGCCCGATGCGGGGCTCGATCCCAGGACTCTGAGATCATGACCCGAGCCGAAGGCAGCGGCTTAACCCACTGAGCCACCCAGGCGCCCCAAGAAAGAAATCTTTTTAAGTAGAGGTTAGTTTTTTGTTAGTTTAATAAAGTTATGCTCTTGGACTGTTATTTGATATTAAATACTTTAGGTAATTTCAGTAAGTCCTTTTAGAAAGGCAAACTGAAAATAAACACATCGAATTTTTGTTTAATATTATAGAATGAAAATTAGTATAATAGCATTTAAGAAAATATTCTTTGTCCTGGAAATTAGAGGTAGTAGGATAAAATTAAGGAGCATGGTTTTGAAACTGTGAGGAAAAAGTATTGTTGTTTAGTTCAGAAGCTATTTTTAAAACTATCTGATTTTTTTTTTTTTTTAGAGTCTTGGAAATTCACAGAGAGAATATGAAAAGCAGGTTGTTCTTTACAGTATCCGCAATCAATTACGATATAGAAACAACTTAGGTAAGTAGAGACATTTTTATATCACGGTGGAAACACCTGTTGCTATTTACCATTTTCATTAATCTATCCTGTCTTTCCCATGCATGTTTTATAATACTGAAATTACTCCATGTAGACATTTAAGAAGCTCTGTACTGACCCATCCCACCTAACAACAATTTGTAAGAGCAAGTAAATTTTTCCTTCTAAATCAGATTCAAATTATTTTTTTTAAAGAGTATCATTTGTAGATTCATTTTACCTATAGAATATTAATCTCAATTCAGATGTGCTTTTTTCACTTTAGGTGAAAAAATAAGCCAGAAGAGACGTACGTTCATTCTTAATAGTTTCTGATTTTGTATTTTGTGGGTTTTTTTCCCATAAATTTTCAAAATATAAATTTAATGAAATCTCTGTAATAATTGGAACAAATTTTAAGCATAGTTGATTGTGTGTGTGTGTGTGTGTGTGTGTGTGTGTGTGTGTGTGTTTTAACTTTTTCTTTAAATGTTTGGTTTTTGTCAGATGACTCATTAGTCTGTTCTATTGCCCTGCTAGTCTTCCTGTGCATGGATTTACTCTCAGATTAAGCACTGTAGTTCAGAGATAGTTTTGTTTTATTTAAATGTATTTCATGGGAGTCAGGGGTCTTTTTCCATTTAAAGAACAAAAATTATTAAATAATTTTTTGAAATTGACTTGATGCGTTGAAAACTACTATTCAGTTTGGCTCTCTTGTGGTATAGTAAGGGATTTGATGAATTCTAGCTTGCGTTTTGCATCTTTTAGAGAGAACATTCCATGATTGCTTTCTTGGCTTTCTGACTTGGTAAGAATTCTTTCTCTATTTATCTGTCCTGTTGCAGATTCCGCTTGTGTACTCTGAAGTCTGTTTCTTTGTGGCTTGTTTCTTTGTTCCAACTTAGTTTCGTTTGTTCTCTTCCAACTACTGTGCTTTTATTTTTAGTTAATGTTGGTTTGTAAAGTAGTTCTTATTGCATTTATAATTATAGATAACTGTAAGACACCTGAAAATTGAAAATTTCTCGCTTTCCCCAGTTAAACATGTCAAGAAAGATGAACGCAAATACTACGAGGAGCTGCTAAAGTACAGTCGTGATCATCTCATGCTGTACCCTTACCATCTGTCAGATATAATGGTAAAGGGCCTGAGGATAACACCGTTTTCATACTATACTGGGATCATGGAGGTGAGTTCACGGTGTACGTGGGGCATTAGGAATGGGACGGGACTCGGTGTCGTCAACAGCGATGCCAGTAGTGACTGGCTGTCCCCTTCTCAGCCCTAGTGGGCATTGTTTCTGAGTTTACAGTGGAAAAAAAAGAGAGTTGGTTACGAGTTAACTGTGTCATCCACACTGTACAAGGAGTTGTTGTCCAGGCTCTCGTAGTGGAAAGGTACCTGTTTTTGTGCCGTGTTTTTGAGGGCATTGTTGACCCTCTGTGCTGTTGTAGCATTAGTCATTCATTTATGTTAGCAGAGTCTCTATAAAACCGACTGCTTTGAACACGTGATTAAGGTTGAAAATGTGGGTGACAGAACTGAGCATTGAGTTCAGAGAAACTTAATGCGTTTAACGATTCTCTGACTAGAGAAAGAATAAGTGATTATAAACCCAACATGCAATACACATGTTAGAAAAAGAAAGGTATTTGTAGTTCTGGCTGCTAATGTCTTGCCATTTTTATTAATTTTTGGATGTTAGCTTTTTTCCAAAGTCAGTATTTAGACCTTTGTCAAGGAACTTTAAATATACTGTTTTTAAGTGAGCTGTGTGTAAAGATTGGCAATGTTTGTCTAGTATTCAGTGGCTACTTAATTTTATCTGAGTGCCGCTGTTTTGGGCCCACTAGCCGCCTCCAGAGCAGGGGGAGGCCTTGAACTGAAGGAGCTGGGAACGTGCAGGAACAGTGAGGTCACGTTCCGATGTGGCTTCCTCTGCGAGAGCTCCCTTTGCTTTTCTCCCTGAGCCCCTTCTTCACAAGCACTTAGGCCGTCCTGCGTCTCCCATGTCTCTGTGCCCCTGTTTGGGAGGAAATATTAGCGTAAAGCTTGAGGCCTGACAGCCCTGGTTTCTGTCGATCCCCTTTCCTGGAGCCAGGGCGGCAGAATGAAGGTGGCAGGTAATCAGTACGTAGAATAATTTGGACTGCCTCTTTGTTTTGCTGGCACTGACCACGAGGTTCAGGAGAGATAATAGGGGGAGGGTTTTTTCTCCCCTTTACCAACTTTCAGTTGTGTTCAGGCACTTGCTGCTCTCTGCTTTCTGTTCTTATACCATTGGGTGTAGGTCCTAGGTTGAAAATAGGCCCTATCCCCACGGTAGACACTTGGTTTATTATTGGAGTAACAGATGGGCATTGGAAGAAGCTGGATGCTGAGGTAAACTGTGCTGCTGGTTGGGTCTCGTAGGAGCAAAGATGACTGAGTGGTCACAGTCTCTGTTGGTGGTGCGCATCTCAGATGTGTGTTGATGGAAGCGTGACACATCAGGGGCCCTCTCTCGGGGCACGAATCTGGGATGAGGTGTGAGGCATGGAGAGGCAGGAACCGGGAGCTCTGAAAGCGGTGTTCCCTGCGTTAGCTTCCACAGAGCGCAAGTTGCAGGGCAGATGTTTGGGATTCAGGAGCGCTGTGGGAAACCCAGACCGGAAGGGCTGATCTTCGGTGACTCGGTTGGGCCCAGGTGGCCAGTAGCACAGGGCTGCCTGCATGCTTTAGGTCGCACACTCTCATCTCAGTGCTTCGGGCAACAATTCTGATTATCCTGTTTGGCTCTCTTAATGTGTATTTACTCACACTTTTTATCTAAGGATATTTTGCATTTAGAATTTTTAATTGTTTTCTTTTTGAAAGGACATTATGAACAGTGAGAAGAGTTATGATTCATTGCCCAATTTTACTGCTGCTGACTGTAAGTATGAAATGACGCTGAAGGTAACGATTAGTCTGTCGTTGTGCATGCGTGCTGTTGTGTGTGTCGTCATGTGTGTTTTTAATCTGAGACATCTGAAGCATGGGAACAGCAAGCAACAGTGTTGGTAGGAATTTTTATCAGGTGAGGCAAGTCAAGTATAAGGTTTAGTCTAAATGTCTAAGGGAGAAATATGTTAGAGGGTAAAATGAGAAGAAGTCTGTATTTCTAGAAAATGAATTCTTTCTGATACTTGGGCTGTGTTGTGTTCCACATGAGGGAAGAAAATTTAAAATTTGTACATGATAGTTTCGCAGCATGATACCTAGTTGTTACTAATATAATTTGCTTTATTATGCTTATTTTAAGGAAGTATATATTTGACATGTGACACCGTTCTCTTGTGTAAGGAGAAACTTTTGCTGAGAAGTACACTTTGACTTCCCGGTCTTGGAAGGGTTTCTGCTTTTTAAAGATTTTCCATGTGACATGGCCAGAGGTGTCAGCTCGAGTTCATCTTTCCCAGTTTGGTTTTCTTTTGTATTTTGTTTGAAGAATTTATTTTAATTTGATGTTGATTGTTAATCAGTCATCAGAGATGAACAAAAGCTAAGGGTTTTTTCCTAAAAGACCTGGGTGTACTGATATTTTAAGATACATTAAGTGTTTTTAAAATAAAGGCTCTTAATTTCAGGTCTAAGGCTTCTTGGCATAGGAAGAAATCAGTACATTGATCTGATGAATCAGTGTCGGTCGTCAAAAGTAAGTTAGTTGTTTCCTTCCCTTTCTTTTTTCATCCCTGTTATCACACATTCTGATTGTTTTAAGTAGTAGAAATACTGAATTGAAATTTCTTTGATCAAGAAAATATGCTTCAGATAAAATACCAAAACAACTCCTCCATATTTTCTAGGTTATGCTTATGCGATTATTGAATTAAAATGTTTAAGGAATAAAATATTTATTTTTAAAATTTAATTTTTGCTCTGCTAGTCTTTTTACTTGCTCATTCCTCTCCCAGCATGATGGGTGAAGTAAGGACACGTTCTCCAAATTCATTTTTACCTCCTGGATTTCCTTTGAGTTTCTGGATTTAGATCCAGACTTGGTGATTAGTGTTTTGAAGTAATTCAGTTTGAAATAATTGAAGAATGACTTTCTCTATAGTATATTTCTCTCCAGTATATCTAAAATTCTTCAGATTTTAAAGCAGGAGGGTTTAAAAAGATTTGTTTATTAGACTGTGAGAAACAGTCTTATACTATGATCAGTAAAAAAGAAAGTATGGATTTCAGGCTGACTGCAAATTCTCACGTTTGTACCATTGAAGAAATTTTTCAGAAGGAAAACGGCTCGTGATCTTCTACCAGTGAAGCCAGTGGAGATCGCCATAGAGGCGTGGTGGGTGGTGCAGGCCGGATATATCACAGAAGATGACATAAAGGTAGATCCCTTGGGAATTAAACGTTGGATTTTTATTCTTTAAATTATAACTTTTAATCATAGCTCTAATTTTTTTAAAAAGTAACACTATTTGGTTTTCCTGAAGAAAATTAAGTGTAAGTTCAAAGTTGTAAATGACTGTGGTAGGGTAGAATACTGGTGGTTTTCAAAGACACTCTTTAGTAATGAGGGGGGTGCACCTGGGTGGCTCCATCGGTAAAGCGTCCAGCTCTTGATTTCTGCTCAGGTCGTGATCTCAGGGTCGTGCGATCGAGCCCCACATCAGGCTCCACGCTATGCACAGAGCCTGCTTGAGATCCTCTCTCCCTCTGCCCCCTCCCTGCTTAATGTGCATGCATGCATGTTCTCTCTCTCTCAAGTCAGTACATTTTTAAAAATCCAATAATGAGGGAGACTTGACTTGGTTCGTGTTCAGTAATCTGGGGACTCGGATTAGACAGAAGCTTCATCTCAAGTGACGTGATGCTGCAGCTAGCTGCCACGATAGCGGCCGGCACTTCCCGAGCACTTGCTGTGTGCTAGAGGCGTGGGGCTCTCTTCCCAGCACCTTTTGTATTGTCTCAGATGCTCTTAACAGCCCCCCGGGTGCGTCTTCCTTGTACGCCATTTCATGTATGGGGAAAGTGAGCACAGAGGCATGAAGTAATGGTTCAAGTCACCATGGGGGTGAAGGTGCAGGATTTTACCTCAGCCACTTTGCTGTGGGAGTGGTGCTTCTCGTGGCTCTGCTGAAGTGTCCTCTGGAAGAGGGAGGTGCTTTGGTGCGGGGCGGGGAGGGCCTAGATCAAGGGCAGTGATGTTCCCAGTGTCAGACCACGTTGCAGATGAGCCTGTGCCTGGTAGAAGAAATGATGATTTGGAGGAAAAGGGGCAGGGCCACGGACCAGAGGGCCTAGAGACCAGGTCACGCCTTTCTGTGGTTGAAGGAGTAAAAGTGAGTGTGGGGTTTTTTTTTTTAGTTTGCATTTTATTTTACTTCAGAAGATGGATTAAATCTCATGAGCGGAACAGTGTGAGAACTTCCTAACAGCTCTCAGACTGTCATAAGATAGTGAACTTCCTGTCACTGATAAATGCATGTGGAGTCTGAATAAACTTCTGATCTGAGCGGTTCAGAGTCAGCAAATGGAACCAAATCCCATTCAGAGATGATGATTAAATATTGGTATTTGTTAGGTAACACTTAATACTTAACAGCAAATATTGGTACTTATAATTACTTTGTCCTCCATTCTGTTGGTAGCATATTATGGCGCCTTAATTGACGGTTATGTACATAGCTTTTTCCTTTGAATTCTAGAGTGATAAAAGAAAAAGTATGTGGTACATTTAGCTAATGATACATAATAATCATAATCACGTATAATACATAAAATGTAATAATATATAATCATATATAATAATCATAATCGTAATAATCATTCGATTTAAACATGATTTCAGGAGACTTCCGAATTACTTTGGATCGAACTTAATTGAAAATATTTTGCTCTTCTTAAAGATATGCACATTGCCTGAGAAATGCGCTATTGATAAGATCATCGACGCGGGCCCTCAGCTCTCTGGATCACTTGATTACAATGTAGTACATAGTAAGTGGTTAGTAGAAGCGGTCTTTTGTCAACATAAAAACTTGTTCTAAACCATCAATAATTAATAGAAATTTTTATCAGTTAGATACACATGGTACTATTTACTAAGTCTTGTTGTTGTTTGAGCTGTGACTTTGGTCCATTGTTTCCCTGTGTGGCTTTCATTCAGTTATTCACATACACTAGAAATTTATACAGATGAGTTGTAAGGATATTTCTGTAGTTCTGAGCATATGAAGAAAACAGATTTGAAAACTTCAGTTCTTTTCCTCTTCTGTTTACTTTTTTTCTCCTTCACCTAGCATTCAGTTGTAAGGATCTTTATAGAAAATCAGGAATCTGTTTTGTTTTGTTTTAAATTTATTGTGGTTTAGTGTTCCACCTAAAACAAATACTTTTGCTTCCGTAGGCTTATATAACAAAGGATTTATTTATCTGGATGTCCCAATATCTGATGACAGTTGTATAGCAGGTAAGTATGTGCTTGTGTTTTCCGCTATTTTTCAATGGTTACTAGGTCCTGGGCATTGTGTACATCACATCTATCACCCTAACAGATTAGACACATACCATTCTGAGATCTGCAATAATAGAATTTCTCAGAGGAAGACATTTCTCCTTTGTTACATGGTAACGCATTGCAGTGTGTTTTACTTAAATTCCTTATTTTTATCTTCACATTGTTGTACATGTAATGTTAAAATAATGGAAATCTGAAATAAATTTCTCACATCCCAAATCAACTCAATGATTTTACAGATTGATGTCCTTTTAGTCTTTGTTCAGTGCATAACTGGTTTTATAGATGTTCAGTCCTGTCATCTGGTAGTTTTACTCTGTGTGCCTGTCTTATTTTTTTGTGTCACTATTGTCTTTCTCGTCTTTATCTACTCCTCCCTTTCTCCTTCACCCATTCCCAAGTTAAACCGCTATTAAAGCCCTTGTGTATTTTCTGGTGGATGTATCAGTGTATTAACCTGTTGCTGGTTATTGAGGTTACTTACACTTTTCTTGCTATGGTAGTGATGTGGTTAACATCCTTGAACACAGTGGAGCTTTTCTCCTCTAGGTTAGATTTCTTACACTGTATTTAGGTCATATGTTAAGGTATGTTTTCCAGCACATCTTTCAGCTGTTGTTCTGGTTTGTTGGTATCTTTCCTCATACTAAGATATTTAATGTTTGTGTAATCAAATATAAAATGTCAAAAATTGCCAGGGAATGACTTTGCTACTAACTATTGAGCGACGATAGGGGCTTATGACAAGAATACTCCCTCCTATCCATGTTGAATCCGGACAGGTTATCATGCTGTTGTGTGTCCTGACCTTTATTTGTGTTCGCATGCGTCAGTGGTTCTTTAAGAGTGGATTTTGAACCATGTGCAAACATGAATTCTATTTTCAGTTTGGAAGGACAGCCAAAAAGCAATGACATACTAATTCTGCTTTGTAGAATTGCTGCTATAACAAATAAAATACTAGTTTTACAGTTCGAAAGGTTTTGACAAGGAAATGATTTCTGGAGGACGGGGCTGATAGTGGTTTCCTGTCACTGTGAGAAAATAGGAATGCATTATGCGTTATTCTAGTCTTTACTCTCATCAGTAAACTAATGTTGACTCATTTGAGAATCTCCTAAAAAGATTGGTTTTTGATTAGTTCATTTCAGTCCCTGTTGACTGACTGTTTGAACACTGACTCACATTACCACTAAGTGCATCTGCAAGGTGTGGTCCGAGAAGGGCCAAGTGGATGGCTGCGCCGTTGCAGAGATGTGTTCTGCCAGGCTTTTCTTAGGATCTAGCAAGTTCTGGTGGTACAGACAGACTCATGCTCTTACAAGTGCTGAATATATCCTCCTTGTCGCCATGGAACATGGGATGTTCCCTAATTTGGAATAACCTGTGAAAGGAAAGCAGTTTGACAAGATGGAGGCCATCGAATTTAGCACGAGACACCGAAGTTGATTTCAGAGAAAGCATTTCATCTCTGTTTCAACAAAACAAGCAGTATGATGGTGGAACAAATAAACTGGATAAATAAAGAGAATAGTCACGAAGGGGTTTGTTGTTAAAACGTATTTAGTCCATTGTCAGACCGTATACTTGCTTGGTTTATAGCTCCCCTTTCATTTACAGCTTTCTAGATTTCTGTTAAGCTTGAATAGAATACTTTTAAGATACATATAGAAATAGTCTAAAAATTCTTAAAAACCTTTGTCATACAAATCCAAACCTGTAGCTGGAACTTTTTTTTTTTTTTAAGATTTTATTTATTTATTTGACAGAGATCACAAGTAGGCAGAGAGAGAGGAAGGGAAGCAGGCTTCTTGCTGCGCAGAAAGCCCGATGTGGGGCTTGATCCCCGGATGCTGGGATCATTACCTGAGCCGAAGGCAGAGGCTTTAACTCACTGAGGCACCCAGGCACCCCTGGAACTTATTTTTGTATTTGATGTGAAATAAGGGCCCAAGTTGGTTTTCTTCTATTTGGAAAACCAGTAACATTTGGATAAATGCTAGGACGGTTTTCCATGACCACTGAATGGAAACATAACTTTTGTCATACATTGAATTCCCCTCTGCATTGGATCTAATTCTGATATCCTTTTTTCTTCACTTATTTATTTTTATTTTTATACTGTATTGTTTCACTACAGTGACTTAAAGTAACCTTTAACATTAGTTATGGCTGGGCCTTCCTTGTGAGTTTTGTTTTATTTTGTTTTTTTTTAATAACTTTTTTTCTTGGCTATTTCCAGGCATTTTTTTCTTTATATTTATTTATTTTTATTAACGTGTTTAAAATTTTTATTTTGTTATTTTTTATTGAGTTATAATTGACATCTGCCATGTTAGTTTCAGGTATAAACTGTAGTGTTGATGATTTTGAATGTTTTGGGAATTGAGCACCACAAGTCTAGTTAATAACATCCATCACCACACAGAATTACCAGAAAATTTTTCTCTTGTGATGAGAACTTTTAAGAGCTACTCTTTTTTTTAAAGATTTTATTTATTTATTTAACAGAGAGAGATCACAAGTAGGCAGAGAGGCAGGCAGAGAGAGAGGGGGGGAGCAGGCTCCCCCCTGAGCAGAGAGCCTGATGCGGGACTCGATCCCAGGACTCTGGGATCATGACCTGAGCCGAAGGCAGAGGCTTTAACCCACTGAGCCACCCAGGTGCCCCTACTTTTTTTTTTTTTTTAAAGGTTTTATTTTTTTATTTGACAGAGAGAGAGAGAGAGAGAGAGATCGTAAGTAGGCAGATAGGCAGAAAGAGGGGGAAGCAGGCTCCCTGCTGAGCAGAGAGCCTGATGGGGGGCTCCATCCCAGGACCCTGAGATCGTGACCTGAGCTGAAGGCGGAGGCTAAACCCACTGAGCCACCCAGGCACCCCAAGATCTACTCTTTAACCATTTTTAGATATGCAGTGGGGCATTATTAACTAGCTGCTATGCTATAAGTTACATCCCTAGGACTTACTTAGTTTATAATTCAAAGTTTGTACCTTTTTACTCCTTTTACATCCCTCCCCCCACTTCTGGCAACCATCAGTCTTGGTCCCTGTATATGTGAGCTTGTCCTCCCCTACCAACATATTTTTGAGTAGGTGGTAGTTAAGATACGAAATTCTAAATTTATAAAAGAATATAAAAACATATACCTCTGACCCCTGTGTCTGGCCACCCAGTTTCTCTCTCAGGGGTCACTGTTAAGTTTCTTGTTTATCTTCCCAAAAGTGTGCTCAGCACATGGACATGTATGTATATGTCCTTTTTCTATGGCTTTAGTTTTACCCAGATGGTGTGTTGTAGTTCGTACTCTGTTTTTTTAACTTAGTATGTATTGGGAGACTCTGCAGTATCTCGTCATGTAGAGTTACATTGTTCTTTTTGTCTAGATGTAAATTGTATATTTTTAACCTCTTAAGTGTCTTGATTTTTCTTCTCTACACTACAGGGGTATAGCGTCGAATGTCGTAGGAGGTTAAGAGGATTAGATGAAATTGTGTACTATAGTCTGGCATTTAACATGCACTCAATTAACGTTTGTTGTTATTCACACAATTGATAGTGTAGGAAAAGAATGAATGATATGAATATGAGGTTTCTAAAATACTTCCAAAGAGAAACTTGTGATCCTTAAAAGTACTTGGATGATGGGAACCATAGGTAACACTAGATTAGAAAGTGACATGAGCCAGGTCTGGAAAGTGAATAATCTGGCCTGTAATGTACAGTGTGATTTTTTTCGCAGTGCCTTTATTTTGACCACTTAAATTTTGTCTGGTTTCTCTTTGTTAGGAATAACTTAGGTTTTGGGTGCAGTTAGATGGTATTAGGGTCAGGGGACACAGGGATACTCAGACCCTTTGTTGGCCTAGGCACTCTTCCTTCCCAGGGTGCACTTTTAGGGTGCATTTTAGGGAATGGTAAAGGAAGGCATAGTACCTCTTCATTATCAGCTGGGCAGAGTGCCCTAGTATATTGGATTAGAGTGTCTGGACCAAAGAGATGGAGAGAAATGAGCGTGAGTACACCTTTGGGTAGACAGCCGCCACCGGGCTGCCTCCTGTGCTGAAGAAGGTCTTGCTTTTCTTCCCACTGAGGCCACTGAGGAGGACACAGACTAGTGATTGCTGGTAAAAGTGGTGGTCCTGCAGATAAATTTCCTTTCTTCTCAGGATGGAGCAGGAATGATGGGAGAAAGGCAGTCAGTACTCTCCGTTCACCTGGTCTTTGTATAGCACACCTGGTCTCCTGCTTTTCTTTTTTTTTCTTTTTTTAAAGATTTTATTTATTTATTTGACAGACAGAGATCACAAGTAGGCAGAGAGGCAGGCAGAGAGAGAGGAAGGGAAGCAGGCTCCCTGCTGAGCAGAGAGCCTGATGCGCGGCTCGATCCCAGGACCCTGGGATCATGACCTGAGCCGAAGGCAGAGGCTTTAACCCTGAGCCACCCAGGTGCCCCTGGTCTCCTGCTTTTCTGCTTTAGCCCAGTCACCCCTGCTATCTGTAAGACATTAAAACACACCCATTGAAGCCTTCCCCATTCCGAAGCAGCCCCAGTCCCCTTGCCTTTCTACCCAGTTCATGTCCTCCAGCACTTCCTCTGCCTCAGTAATGCTGACAGTTCCCTGGGGTTACTCTTTGTAGGATTTGTGCTCTACTATCAGAGTCCTCTGTGTAGATGGGGTTGTAGATGGCCTTAACTTTGGGGGTTTTAGAAAACTTGCTGTGGAGTAGATAAACTAAATCAAAAACTGAATTTAGTCCCTAAGGTAGAGGTTTCCCTTTTTGAATGGGTATTTGCATATGCTTTCTTGTTTTAAAAAATTGAATCACTGATAAAAGTCTATTTTGTTTTAGTTCCTCCTCTTGAAGGTTTTGTAATGAATCGGGTACAAGGGGATTATTTTGAAACTCTACTCTATAAGATATTTGTTTCCATAGATGAGCATACTAATGTTGCAGAGGTAAGTATGACAATGTCTTATGAACGAACTTAACCTCAAGATTATAAAATACATTTGTGTAAAGTAGATAAAGTTATTTAATGATAAGGTTAAAATGTTTTCAGAGTCAATATGCATGGGTAGGTCATAGACCATTAATATACTTAAGTTACAATTCTTAAGTTACTTTCTGTATATACATAATAACTTTAGTAAATAATATAATTTGGTAAATAACTTAATATAATTCTTGGTAAAAGGATTGCAGACTATTGATTGATATAAGCATTTTCTTATTTTAAAAGAAACTAAAGAGGAAAGAACCTTCCATCGTTATGGTCACTATCTGGATTCGTGCTACTTAGACATAAGGAAAGAAGAAAGTTCTGATTTCAGAATTAATATATTGAGTCTTTTAATTATTAATAATTTAAAATTTTGCTGATTATGGTTCACTTGTTTATTACAACTGTGTAATATTGATAATTCTAGGAGTATAAATAATTTTTTGTTTTTATTTTCTAGCTTGCAAATGTCCTTGAAATAGACTTATCCTTGGTTAAGGTATATAATTTTTATACTCTTCTTATTTATAAATACTGAATGGCTTTTATTAGAAACTTTTGTCTTGATAAGCTACTGAGAAATAGACACAGTGAGATTCTTATTGGCTGTGCAGGGGAGTGAGGACAGTAAAGGGGGTACCTGCAAAGATGGAAAAGACCAAGGTAAGGGCGCTGAAGCAGTATTCCACGCTGGGGAGTGAAAGCCCGCACTCACGCTCCTGCGTGTGCAGGAAGCTGCCCGATCAGTGTCTCGTGACGAGGTCACTGAAAGCACCCTCTTCTGCTGCTGCGTCCTAAAGAGCGCCAGGCCAGAGAATTGGAAGTACTCTCTCTTCCACCTCTGTGAACAACTTAGGGGAGGAGCAGGCCTACTGAAAAATGTTTTTTCTGGTGGCATAAAAGTGTTTGGGGATCACTGTGCCAGAGTCGATGACAGTACTTTAGCTCTACAAATAGTCTGATGTCTGGTCTATTTTAAATGCTAACTTCTTTATATTCTTTCAGAATGCTGTTTCAATGTATTGCCGATTGGGCTTTGCCCATAAGAAGGGACAAGTAATAAATTTGGATCAGCTTCATTCATCGTGGAGGAATGTTCCATCTGTAAACAGATTAAAGTAATTCATTTATTCAGTCTGAGATATTAGAGTTTCCTTTTGAAAAAAACATTGCTCTATGTACAGAAATTTTACTATTGAGGTGAACACTGCCTGTTAGTGGTTTTTAATCTTTTGTGTGATGAATGGTGTTTAGAATCTGATGAGAACAAGAACACTTTCCCCAGAGCAAAGTACATAGGGTATTTTACAAACAGCTGTGAAGAGTTCTCACATTCCCTGGAGCCTGCCCGTGGGTCTTGGTTAAGAACCATTGCTGTATGAGGGCAGAGCATTTTGGGGCTATGTCTCCGTTTGGGGCTTGAACCTAAGACGGGACTGGGTGGGTATTCATAATTTGAGTGCTGACTTCAGTAGCTGTTTTTATATAAGCTAAGATGTACATGATGTAAAACACGGCTGGATTCTTCATTCACAGGAGTACCTTAGACCCGCAGAAGATGCTGCTGTCGTGGGACGGTGGGGAAAGCAGGAGGCCCGCGCAGGAAGTCTCATCAGCCGCTGACATGGACACCAACAGTCAAGAAGATCCGGGTTAGCAGTCCCCCAGGGTATAGAGATGCCAGGCGTCTATGCCGACACGCACAGAGCGAGCTAGGCTTTGTTCTTGATACCGTTCATTTGATGTGCAGTCTTCGAGTCCTCAGCGGTATGCTGGGCATTGAATATGGTACCTTGCTTCTGAGAATAAGTCTAGGGAGAGAGAAGGCAGTTGTAATCACAAAAACCACAACAGTGTGAGAAGTGTTTTGGTGCTTGTGGGGAGCAAAGAGAAAGAGCTTTCTTGACTAGAGATTTGGGAAGCCTTCGTGGAGGAGATGATAACTGGGCTAAGAACGAATAAGAGCTTGCCAGCTGGTGAGTGAGGGAAGGTCTCAGCATGGGCTAAGCACAAAGGGAGGCAAAGAAAGCGTAGTGCGTGAGGGGCTGCTCGTGGTTTTATGTTGGGGCGGGGGGAGAGGAGCACAGCGTAGCTCTGTTCTTACCCTAGGTTCTTACCCGAGCCAGGTGACTTGTCTGAAGAGGTCAGGCTAGCTAGTCTTAAGTGTTCTGACAGTTATCAAGTCTTGGTTTATTACTGGTTTTCAGGAAACACCACGAAAGTGAGTACTTAAAAGTTTTTTTGTTTTTTTTTAAACATTCTCTGGTTGGAGATGGATAGGATTGGGCCACTTAGGACTGACTACAAAATTACTTATAGTTAGTTACATATTTTTGAGTTTTTAAATCAAGTTGAATTGCAGTTCTTTCTCATTCCAAATGGTAGGCAAATAATAATTTTAAATCACTCGATTTTAAATCATGATTTTTTTTTTTTTGTTCCAGCGGATACAGCCAGTGTAAGCAGTTTGAGTTTATCTACAGGATATACAAAGCGCATTGCTTTTCTGTTTGACTCAACTCTTACTGCCTTTTTAATGATGGGAAATCTTTCACCGGTAAGTCCAGTTCTTGTTTAAATGTGACAGTGTTTAAAGATTAGATGTAAAATAGTTCATGCTTTGAAATCTTTTTTTAAAGTACTGGATTTATTCCTGAAAACACAAAATGCCACTCGTCTTGTTTTATGATCCCTGGAGGAGCGTCGTAACTTTTTAGTGATGGTTAGCCTCGCACCTCCTCACCTTTGGTTATATTGGAAAGCATAATAGAAATATGAGATGTTCTGTTTCATTTTAAAAAGAGAAAATTAGAACTTATTCATAATAGACTTGTATAAGGTTTTAAGATCCATTTTAGTTTTTTTATTTTTGTTTCTCTATGCCAGAACTTGAAAAGCCATGCGGTCACCATGTTCGAAGTTGGTAAACTCTCAGATGAGTCTCTGGACAGCTTTCTTATAGAACTAGAAAAGGTAAGTCTGGATTGCTCGTTACGGGATCTCAGGTTGTTTGGTGCTGTTCCTTGCTTGATACCGATTGTGTCGATTTTTGGTGTCTGCCTCATTCCCCACCTTTACTCTAACAGTCACTTACACTTAAAATACTGAGTGGATGAATGGATTTTGTGATTTTCAAAGTGGTTTTTGGACCTTACCTCTCACTTAGCATGATTTGGTTTTATGACATGTGGTATAGGGGAGCCCCTGGGCGGCTCAGTCAGTTAAGCATCTGCCTTTGGTTCAGGTCATAATCCTGGGGACCTGGGATTGAGCCCCGCATCGGGCTCCTTGCTTTCTGCCCCTACCTGCCGCCCCCCAACTTGTGCTCTCTCTCGCTAGCTCTCTGTCAAATAAAATCTTAGAAATAATTAGTCAATGTAAGTTGTTAAATTACATTTTTCTAAAATAGCCTTTGTTTTTGTTTTTGTTTTTTTTTTTCCTTTGATATGACTGTCTAAGATCTCCTCTTCAGCAGTTTTATTTAAAGTTTTTGTTCCCCTTGTCTTAAATCTGGAGCAGCGTCCACAGGTACCATATTTATGTCCACTCTCACTAGCCCTGTTAGCATCTTGAAGACTTCAGCCGTAGCTGCTCTTAGGCACCTCTTCCCCTACATGAAAATAGCCCGATTTGTCCTAAGCTCTAAATCTCGATTGCCCTTTCACGGTTTTTCCATTCCCTGGGTTTTTTATTTTTGTCTTTTTTGTTTGTTTTTTTTGTTTTCTGTTTATGCTAATAGTTTGTGTGCTGAGTCTCCTCCTTGACTAGTAATTTTGGTACCTTTTGCGCTTCAGTGATGAACTCTGTATATTAAATGTTTTACTTAGAGGATTTTTGATGATTCCATTAGTTTCTTTAATAAAAAATGACATTTTTTTCACTCTTCCTTCTCCATATGATTTTAACTTGATAGTGCAGAATTATATTTGAGATAATCCTTTGCAATTAATTGGTCTTTCATTTTTACCTTTATACATCCATTATTCCCTCAATGCTTTTAGTATCGTGTTAATCCCGTTTCTAATGTATGTATATCATTTTTGCCAATAAATTTTTTATTTTCTAAGATACTTTTTTTTAAAAGATTTTATTTATTTGACAGAGAGAGATAACAAGTAGGCAGAGCAGCAGGCAGAGAGAGAGGGGGAAGCAGGCTCCCTGCTGAGCAGAGCGGGTCTGGATCCCAGGACCCTGAGATCATGACCCGAGCCGAAGGCAGGGGCTGAACCCACTGAGCCACCCAGGTGCCCCTGTTTTCCAAGACGTTTTAAGTTCTCTTTTCCTGATTTTTATTTTTCTCACCTCAACTAGTCTTTTAGCACGTGTAACAATTAGAAGATCACTTTATTTTTTATATATCTATTTCGTTTTATGCCACCTAGCCATTCTTGGGAAGGCCTTTTAGTCTGAAGTTTAGTCATTAAAAATAGTTTCTTAAAAAAAAAAAAAGTTTCTTAGCTATTTTTAAAGAAGCCTCGTCCTAATTAAGCTTAGTTGGTTAATTTTTTTTTAAGATTTTATTTATTTGAGATTGAGTGAGTGAGAGAGAGAGAGAACATGAGCAGGGGGAGGGGCAGAGGGAGAGGGAGAAGCAGGCTTCCCTCAAAGCAGGGAGCCTGACTCAGGACTCGATCCCAGAACCCTGGGGCCATGACCTGAGCCGAAGGCCAACACCTAACTGAGCCACCCAGGTGCCCTGGTTGATCTTATTTTTAAATGCCAATCTAATTTAGTCATTCCTCTTGTAGACCTGTCCTTTCATTTCCTGTGTTGTTTCTGGGATGTGTGTATTTTTACATGTTAAAGAAGCACCTGACTCAGTGTCAGAAGAGCATGCGTTAAAACGTAAGGCCAGTGAGCACAGGGTTTTGTCTGCTATTCTGTCCCCACATCCTAGACGGATCATACCTAGCACATCACAGGCACTCGGTGAATCCTTTTCGAATGAATTTAAGCTGTATACTCAGTAGTGTGGAAACAGTGATGTTGAATCTCATACTCCATTGTCCCTTGCAGCCAGTGATGCAGAACGGGGGGGCATAGTGACAAGAATTAGAAGCATAATTGGTGACCATGGATTGGAATACTTTTCTGGATAAAGCAGAAAATAGATCTTAGCTTTTTTTCTTTCTTTTTTTTTTTTTTTTTAAGCACCCTATTTGAATCCTATGTGGGAGATAAAACATATATAATAGAATAATTTAGCATTAATTGGTTGCTTCAAATTGTTAGTTTTACTTGCTAGGATAATTTCTGTCATCTTCAAAGATACATTCAAATGGAAACTCAGCCGAGATTTAGGTTAAGATTTGTCTCAGTATTGCCTGGGCTAATTTTTGGTTTACTGAGTCTTAATAGTGTTTTAATGTCTGTACTATATGGTTATTGTATATTAGGATGAGTGGTTTGAGAGTGATACTGCAAAATTTATTTTCTCGGTTTAGGTTCAGAGCACTGGTGAAGGAGAAGCACAGAGATACTTCGATCATGCACTCACCCTGAGAAACACAATATTGTTTCTGCGTCATAATAAAGACCTAGTTGCGCAAACTGCACAGCCAGAGCAACCGAATTATGGTATGATAAATGTACTTGATTTTGAACACATGACCCCATGGAACTTCTTTCTAAGAAATTAAACCGGTCACGCTCACTTATTTAATCATCGCTTAATGCATTTAGTGTAGACGGCATGTTGAATTTGCAACTAGAGGCTTGTTTTGTGACTTCCTTTGCTTGTCAGCTCTTTCTTATTTTACCTTTTCTCCTTTCTCCTGTGCCACCGACATTTGTAGGATCTCAGTGTGCTTAGTACCTACAAAAACGGTTGGAGCGTTAACTTGTTTAAGTGGCTGGATGGCATGTAGAACAGGCCTCGGGTTGAGGGGTGAACAAAGCCAAAATGTAGTGATTTAGGAAGCATACTATTTCCTGAAGGAAGGATCCCATTGTAGGAAAGGAATAAGCAGGAGTTTCCGGTTGAAGTGCTGTTGTAATACCTTCTGAAGTATTTTACTTAAAAAATTAAAAAAGAGAACAGAAAACCTTGTTAAAGAGTAAAAGAAAGAAGGCAGTGGCAGTTCTAATCTGTGATGAACCCTGACGTGGCTCTTGCCCTGGTCTGCACTCTTGGGTGTGGGATAGGTGGGGGGGGGGGTTCCCAGACTGTGGTTGAATGGATAATAGGTCCTAAGGAGGGCATTGCCACCCAGGAATGCAGGTTTTTAAAAAGATGGCACGGCTTGGGCACCAGGGAAGAGTATTCAGATCCCGTCCTTGCTCATTCACAGGAGCTGCGTCTCAGAACTCCGTGAATTCTTAGCACCATGAGAACATTGAATTTCGCTCGTTTCTTTCATTTACTTAAAATTTAAGTTCCGTTTTTCTGGCCGGGAACCAGTGGTTTCTGAGTCATGCCCAGTTACATTCTACTTCTTTCACCAGCACCTGACTTTCTTTTCAGCTCAATTTGAGCATTTAAGAACAGAATCAGTTGTCACTTTACAAAAGTGGTCATGGAGATGAGGACAGAGATGCTGGGTAGTTGAGCTGAGTGAAGCCGGACACACTCAGATCCTGGTGACTGGCTTCTGCAGCTGTAGTATGTCAGGCTCAGAGTTCTGCTTTAGCACAATCAGGACTGATTTCATGCTGGGGTTCTTTCTGAGATTGTTCATAAATAGTTGCGACTGAATATTAAGTCACCAAGTGCCAAGAGGCCAAAGTACTTATTCATAGGCATTCGTTAATGGTAACCATTTTTTGGCTACCAGGTAGATCATGTGACCTAAGCAACGAGCAGCACAATCTTGAAGATGTCTTTGTATGTAAAAATCCTGAAATTACTAGGACTTTTTAGGGACTTAGGGAGGTAATGGATTAGAGTATTTGAAATACTCTGTCATAGCCATCTTGAAATATACCATCCTTTCCTGCGCATCATAGTGTCCAGGAATGTTAGTGCTGGTGACCAGTCAAATGTAACTCATTTTATGGGGAGAGAAATTAGCTTGTTTTGGTCAAATCTTCTGCCCATTTGTCCAGTATGGGTTAGTTGGTGGAAGACATGGGATTTAAGTCCATGTTTCTTCAAAAAAAAAATTTTTTTTTGCTCTATCCTGTTTATTATCTTCTCTTGAACATTAAACTATTTGTTGATTTATTCCTAAACAATCTGTTGCTTAGTAGTCTGGACTAAACTTTGTTTTTCACCATGAATGGTCTATGTACCAGAAAGTTAAATTGAACGAAAAACCTAAACCTTATCTGTATGAAAGTAGTTAAATATTATTGTAACTCATGAGGTTGGTTTGATAGTGGACTGTTTTTGGTACTAGGTAGAGCTTTCATTGTTTAGTCTTTCCTCACTAAGATTTTTTTATCTGACATTTTTTCACTCATAACTGATTTATCAGTTTTATTAAATTTGTTCTTGATTTCTTGTATGTAGTCAAGCATAATTTCTTTAGTATTTTTTTTAAGGTTTTATTTATTTATTTGAGAAAGAGAAAGAGCAAGAGCCAAGTGGGAGGAGGGGCAGAGGGAGAAGCAGACTCCCCACTGAGCAAAGAGCCCGATGCAGGGCTTGAGCCCAGGACTCTGGGATCATGACCTGAGCCGAAGGCAGACACTTAACCATCTGAGCCGCCCAGGGGCCCTTTCTCTAGTCTTTATAGAACTTTGCCCCTTCTCTCCTTTTCCTAAGCCACCTGCTTAGCTCTCTTTTCCTTTAAAATGAACCTCCCATCTGGCTCCAGCCAGATCTATCTTCTCCCCCTCACTCTCCCACCTTGTTTGCTGGCTGTGTGCAACAGATGCTCTTCCTGATGTCTATGACTTGCTCTCCTCCATTAGCAACATTTTATTTGAAAATACCTCAAATTTACAAAAAAGTTTTAAGAATTTAAGAATAGTATAATTACTTCGAACCCAGAATTTGGGAGTAAGTTGCGTACTGTGATCTTTGTCCACAAAATTATTCGGGGGCCGTTTCTTAAGAATAGGGCTAGTCCCTGACATCATCTTCAGAAGGTTAATTGCTACAGTACCTGCCATTCATATTCCAGTTTATCAGTTGACCCAGTAATGTCCTTAATAACATTTTTCCCCCTCAAATGCAGGATCCAATACTACATTAAATTGTCATGTCTCCTTTATCTCCTTTATTCTGGAACAAGTCTGTAACCTTTTTTTGTCCTTTACGAAATTCTTATTTTTTTAAGAATATAGTCTCTTTTTGTTAGTTTTACTAGAAAGTTCCTCATGTTGGGTGTGTGGGATGTTTTGTTGTGATTAGGTTCAGGTCATGCACTCAAGTCCAGAGTATTACCTAAGTAATGTCATGTTCTTCTAAGGGTATGACATCTGGAGGCATGGGATTCCCGTCCGCTCCCGTTGTGATACTAGTTTTGATCACCCAGTTAATGTGTTTTTGATTATTCTACTACATAGTTAAGTATTCTCCCCTCGCGCAGCGACTCAGTAGTCTGTGGACAGGTACTCTGAGACCGTGTACATCACCTGCTGCTCGTCAGTACCTCTCCCGGAGGGAGAGTCCAGTGTTGGTCCTGCCTGAACCATTCTTGTCTGTGATGGTTGTAAATTGATCATTTTTTTTCCAACTCCAGTTCTTCCGGTAACAGTTGGGACTGAGCATTTTTTTTATATTCTCAGTATGGATTGATGAATTCCTGTTTTTTTCAATGGCTTATAATTAGTCACTGTTCTCTCTCAATTACTTGTGTGCTATGGTTGTCTCCAGTTTTGCCAGTAGGATTCCTTTCAAGCTGCCTCCAGTTTCCTTGTGCCATGCCTCCATCTTTTAAAAGAATTCTTACATTTGAGGCAGTTCTTTACTTTCTGGCAAAACAGTCTTCTCTTGTACTTCTGTCCCAGTCTTGGAATCAACCTTTTCTCCCAGGAGCCAGGTTTCTTTTATTAGAACATGGTATTCAAGAGCGAAGTCCTGGTACTAGTTGTGCCAAGTGCTTCTAGGCCCTTCCAGCAGGCCATATGTTTTTTGGTTCATTCTTGCTTGAGGGGGAGATGAGCTAACTTTGTCTCCTGGCGTTTCTTTCAGCCTTATCTATCTTTTTAAGAGAATGAATAGGACTGGAATTTTCTGAAAGGGTTCTAGAATGGGAACACTGAAAATCTGTTACATGCCGAGGGACTTCTTGCTTTATGGACCAGCAGTCTTGGGCCCGTATTGTTAATGAGAACTCTCGTTCCTATACCAAATTCAGAACTTGGCTGTGAAACTCTTTGCAGAAATTGGAAATTGGGGGATGCCAGGCCACAGCTTTTTTGTGGCCTGTATGTCTTCATAATATGCCACCTCCTGGGAACGGCTGGAGATGGATAGGAAATGAGGTAGAGCAAATGCGTATTTCTAACACAAAAGGGAGTGGCCTCACAAAACCCCAGGAGACGGTTATCTTTCTAGATCAGGGAATAAAGACCGTTAGCTTTAAATCTTAAAGGGTCTTCGTGGTTTCTGAGGGAATTTGGCACTATTAATAGAGATACTCTGTCTGTTGGAGAGATGTTTAACCACCAGGACGGTTAGCGGTATTTTGTCTTAGACATTGCTGTTCCACCCTGTCGGTCTTTCATCCTCCCTGTACGCTTGCTCATCATCCAGGTTTTCCTCTGGATCTCTTACGCTGTGAGAGCCTTCTTGGTTTGGACCCTGCAACGTGCAGCCGAGTTCTAAACAAAAATTACACACTGCTCGTGTCCATGGCTCCTCTCACCAATGAAATCCGGCCTGTGAGCAGCTGTACCCCTCAGGTAAAGAGCCAGTTGGAGCATGGCGAGTGCTGTCCTTTCACCCTTCCCTGTAGTGACTCGAAGAAGAGGTTTACCGGTTTGATCATGTTATTTCTCAATTTGCAGATGCCACATGCTAACATCAGTAACTCAGAAGGCAGTTTTATATTTTATGCTGTTGTAAAATGTTCAGTTTATGAGATAGAGTTGGTATGTTTTATTCATGTTTCATCTAGTGACTTGGGACACATTGACGTTTTCTTGATGAAGGCAGTGTTTTACTTTATTACTGTTTTTTTTTTTTAAGATTTTATTTATTTGACAGAGAGAGAGAGATCACAAGTAGGCAGAGAAGCAGGCAGAGAAAGAGGAGGAAGCAGGCTCCCTGCTGAGTAGAGAGCCTGATGCGGGGCTCAATCCCAGGACCCTGGGATCATGACCTGAGCCGAAGGCCGAGCCTTTAACCCACTGAGCCATGCAGGCACCCCTCATGACTGTTTTTTAAAGATTTTATTTATTTATTTGAGAGAGCATGAGTATGAGTGGGGAAATGGGCAGGAGGAGAGAGAGAATCTCCAGCAGACTCTGCACTGAATATAGAGCTCAACACGGGGCTCAATCTCAGATCCTGAGATCCTGACCCGAGCCAAAACCAAGAGTCAGACGCTCAACCAATGGAGCCACTCAGGCGCCATGTTGATGACTGCAGTATTTTAAAGGGAATGTTCTGGATGCTCTATGAAGGAAGCCTGGATTGCCTGCAGGGATAAAGTCAATTTAATTAGGAAAAATAAAGTGTCTTAGAAGTGGAGTTACGATTGCTAAATAAACCGGAAAGGAAAGACTGCTTGAAAGCTAGAACTCTGGGTATCTCACAATTGACTTATGAACATTACTGCTCTCTTTTTAAGCATAAATCAGTTGTGTATTTGTATGCTTAGCAAGGACATTGTGGCCTGTACCGTTTTCAGAGAGCGGGGATCATGTTGCTGTTCTTAGTGCTACATCCTGCCTGGTCCCCTAGATGTGCGAGGTTAATGGTGTAGAAGAAGGGAAGGGATCCTTGTACAAGGTTGATATTTATATGCTCTTCTAGCTGCCTTAGTGAGCATACCTTGCGCACCCCCAAATTTGTCCTCTATCCAGTAGGAGCAGTTATAGGTTAGCATTTACCAACTTTTAAAAAAATAATTCTTTGTGTGCTCCCCCTGCAACTCTTTATACACACTTTCTTCCATTCTGTGACATGACTTCTAGGCCTAGTAGGAATCCATGAACTGAACAAATGATAAGATGGATGGAAGGTTCGCTAGTTCCTTTTGTGAAAAATACATGTGATTAATGACAGTAACTGGCACTTTGAAATAGAGCTTATTAGATGGCAGGTGCTGTTTTAAACCTTTTGGAACAATCTTACAGTGTCTTTACAAAGTAGATATTTTATCGTTGCATTACAGAAGAGCAAAGTGGGGGCGCCTGAGTGGCTCAGTGGGTTAAGCCTCTGCTTTCAGCTCGGGTCATGATCTCAGGGTCCTGGGATCGAGCCCCGCATCAGGCTTTCTGCTCGGCGGGGAGCCTGCTTCCGCCTCTCTCTCTCTCTCTCTCTGCCTGCCTCTCTGCCTACTTCTGATCTCTCTCTCTGTCAAATAAATAAAAAATAAATCTTTTAAAAAAAAAAAAAGAGCAAAGTGAGGTATAGAGAATTATAGTGAGCTTCTTAAGATGATATAGCTTAGGGGACAAAGCCAAGATTCAAACCTTGGTGTTCTGCTCCAGAGTCCATTGTGTAAGATGTGCTTTCTCAGTTCTAGGATAAGATTGAAACTGTTTGAATGGAGCATTTGAAGTTTATTTTCATAGGGATAATAGCAGTTAACATCTATGTGAGGCATTACCTATTTGCAAGACTTCATCCTTGGTCCCTTGTGAGATGTGTCTGCTTTCATCAAGTATTACAACTTTATCTTCCCTGTTTTGTGATTCCAGCATATTGGACCAGCTATCCCAGAAGTCAGTTCTGTCTGGTTTAAACTGTACATTTACTACATCACTGGGCAAGGACCACCATCTCTTCTGCTGTCCAAAGGTACAAGACTTCGAAAACTGCCAGATATATTCCAGGTACGTTGTGCGAAGTGTGTCTCTTTTTTTTTTCTTTATTTGTGAGGAGGGTAGAATTTGGTAAGCAGTATTTTAATGACCTTCTGAATTTTTTTTTTCCATTTCTGAACACCATTTTATTCATCTTTTATTCATTTTTTTTTCCCCATAGGGTTATGATCGATTACTCATAACATCTTGGGGCCATGATCCTGGGGTAGTTCCTACGTCAAATGTGCTCACAATGTTGAATGACGCCTTGACTCATTCGGCAGTTTTGATCCAGGTACCGTTGCTTTATTTGAAACAACCAATTTTGGATTTTGACTTGGAAGATTATAAGTTGTCTAGCTTTCTGCCGATCCGCAGTTGGATGTCAGTAATTTGAGATTTGTAAAGCTGAAATGTAAGGGATCAGATGTGGGTTTTCGTGCTGGCCTTCGTCTGGCAGTGTGGGAATCGCAGAAACGACATGGACTTTGGAGTGAGACCCAGCTTTGAATTCCAGCTTCGTCTTTTGCTGTCCATGTGGCTGTATTTACAGTAGTTGTGTTGAGCTAGAATTCACATAGCGTACAACCCACCGATTAACATCGTACAACTCTGTGGTTTTTAGTTGTAGGCACACGTGTCCACAGCCTTCCCCATGCTCATTTTAGAACATTTGCATCACCTCAGGAAAGAACTCCTGAATGCTTAGTTCTCCCTTCCTTATTCCCCAGCCCTAAACAGCACCTTACTATCTCTCTAGAATGCTTATTCTGGGCATTTCACATACATGGAGTCACGTAATATGTGGTATTTTGTCACTGACCTCTTTTACTTCACAGAATTCTTTTGAGGTTCATCACATAGCGTGTATCAGTCCATCATGAGTCAGTACTACATTCCTTTTTATGGCCACAGAAGAGTCCCTTGTGTGAATAGCATTTTGTTTTTCCGCCTATTGCTGATGGACATTTGGGTTTCCACCTTTCGGCTGTTACGAATAATGGTAATCACTGCTACACATGGTCATTTATAGGTTTTTGTGTGGCCATGTGGTCATTTCTCTTTGGTGTGTGTCTAGGAGTGGAAATGCTGGGTCATATGGTAATTCTGTGTGCAGCTGTTTAAGGATCTTCCAGACTGTTTTCCAGAGTGGCTGCACCATTTTACATTCCCACCAGCACTCGGTATTATCTGACTGGTTTTATTATAACCCTCCTAGGGTATGAAGCGGTATCTCACTGTGGTTTTGATTTGTATTTTCCTGATGCCTAACAATGGTGAGCCTCTTTTCTTGTGCTAATGAGCTGTGTGACGTTTTGAAGATACTTCTCTTATACTTAGTTTCCCACCTGTAGAATGGCCATGACAGTATTTACTGTGTAACAATGAAAAGTAATAGTAGCAGCTAATGAGGGGATAAGCAATTTATAGCCCTAGGATTATTGAATTAAATAGGACTGTGTGTGAAGTGTGCAGCACACTTTCTGCTTCATAGTAGGTTCTCAATAAAGATTTCATCAATTTATTCAACTAACAATCGTATGTGCCATATTCTGTGCCAGTTAATGTGGATACACAAATAAGACATAGTCCCTGAGTTCAAGGGATTTAAGTCTGGTGGGAAATGTTGCCTAAGCAGTCCATTTCGGTTCTTTCCTGAGTGCTGAATAGGATTATATTGAATAGGGTGCACGCATTAGAGTAGTACCCAATTCAGCCTTGAGGCAAGGAGAAGGGCTTGGGGGACACTCATCGGAGACTGTGAGACTCAGGCTGAGTATAGAAGGACGATACAGAAGAGAGCCCGGCCAGGACACAGGGGTTAGCAGGAATAAATCTCTGGGCAGAGATTTTTTTTTTCTTTTTCCCCGCTGCTGCTTCCCTAGTACTTAGAACAGCACCTGGCTCAGAGTAGTTTCTCCTGAGTGTTTTGATGTACACTCCAGGCAAGCTCTGGACTGGAGTGTACCTTGACCGTTTTGCTACAGAGCTTACACTATACCCTCTAGATTGATGGCAGCCTGTAAAGGGTACTGAGCAGGGGATTTTTATGGTCAGTGTGTTTTGGGAAGATCAGCTTGGAGAGGATGCCACCCAGGTATGCTACCCCCAACCCAGCAGGGTAAGAGACCTAAAGCAAGAAATCCGGTTAGGATTTAGTGTACGAGTCCCGGTAAGAGGTGAAGGCAGCCTAGATCAGGGAAGTGGTAATAAGAATTGAAAGCGAAAATGGGTTCAAGAATTATTACAAATTAAGATGAATAGAATTGATCAGATGTCTGAGAAGGATATGAGAAGAGGAAGAGAATGATTCCTGGGGTGTTGACTTGTGAAAGTGGAAGAACGGTGCTATCCCTGCCTGACAGAACAGAGGAGGAAGAGCCAGTTGCTGGGGGTCAGAGGATGTGCTGCGTTTGGAGCATGTTGAGTATAAGGTGCCCATGGGACATGTGGATGGTGGTGCTATCTAATCGGTAATTGAGAATATTTTGATATCCAAGTGAGAGTTAAACAGGAGACACTGACTTGAGTGTCTGCATCAGCATGAGGAGGTAGTTGAAACCATAAGGGACGAAGTGTTAGCCAGGAAGGAGGAACACGAGGCAGGGTTTCATGGTGGGAAATGGCATAATGGAATGGGTTAGGTGTGGGCTCCAGTCAGTCTGTCTAGATGCAGATCTTGATTCTACCACTTATGAGGACTCTCGGGTGAGTTTGATAATCTTGAATTCCTTCGCCTGCAAACTGGAGATAATAATAGGTTCTGTCTTTATAAGGTTGTTGAAGCTGATGACCGAGTTGCATAATCTGCACAAAACGGGTAGAGTGCTACACGTAGCACACAGGAAGGTCTCCCGAGATGTTCAGTGTGAGGTGGCAGTGGTAGGAGAAGCAGACAGGAGTTTCAAAGTGTTGGTTACAGAGTTTTGTTTTTGCTCAGCAAGATGCCTTCTTTATTAAGTGATATGGAAGAAATACACCTTGGTGGAATTCATAACAAAATCAAGATTTTGATTAAAACCACACTTTTGTTACAACAGTCTTGATTAGGGTTTAAATCGTAACTGTACCAATGAAGTTGAAAAGAGCTGTCTGAAGAAACGTGTTTACATTGTTGTATGAACCATCTTAATGAGTGCTATTTTTCTCTGAAATGTTTTTTTCTTTTATAGCATATAGTACTTTGACTTCAATAATGTATAGATTTTTTTGAAAGGGAAAAACGTATAGATCGCCAGTGTCAACTTAAATTTTCTATTATAACACCACTAAATGCATGTAAACATTAGATTCTTCATGTTTATTATTTTTACATCAAAACATTTGGGGATTTAAATGCAAAAAATCCTTTAAAACTAACAGAATTCAGATGAACATTAATTGAATGCAATAGCTAAAACTAAATTATGCATAGCATGGGAGTGGGGTGGTTAGACTCAAGATTTTTCTTAATTTTTGAATTAATAGAATCTTCACATAATTCAGAAATAAAACACTATGAAAAGATGCACAGAGAAAAGTGTTTCCGTACTTCTTATATTGTCTGCTCCCTTCTCCCCATTTCTCCTCCAGATCAGATACATTTATTAGTTTTTGCTATTGTTGTCTAGGATTTCTTTGCCTGTGTGAGCCAATGCACAGTGCTATCCCCCTGCGATTTTCACTTAGCAAGTGGAGACCTTTCCATTTCAGTTCGCAGGGAGCTTGCTTTTTTCTCCCCGCCTCGCTGCTGCCTTGAAAATACATCCATTAATTTACTGAACCCCTGTAGAGGGGCTTTTATAATTATACAATCTTGAATATATGTCAGTGAATGCAGGTTTTTGAGTTTCGCATTCCCAGCTCATGATCAGCCAGGCAGTTGACAGTGGGATTCTTTCATCAGAACTATAGCTAACCCTTGTGCGAGCGTGCTCGATTTTAGTCTCCGCTGCCTCACCTCATGGACCTGTTAAATTGGCCTCTTTGTTTTTCATTAGCCATCCACTCCATTGGAGACACATGGCCTTGTAAATTATAATATGCCCTCAAGATGGTCTTTGCTTGGTGGAGAAAAATTTAAAAAATTGTTGAAAGTTTTTTAATGGAATATTAATGTAGGGTATACCATCACATGGCATAGTCTTATTTATGGTTTGATGATCTGTTTGTTCTTGGAAATACAGGTTTCTTGTATACCTTTCAACTGTGTTTCTTCACCTTTAGGGACATGGTTTGCATGGGATAGGAGAAACTGTCCACATACCATTTCCATTTGATGAAACAGAACTACAAGGAGGTATCTTACTTTTGAATTATATCTGTTTAACTTCTTTATCATTAATCTTTGTCAGCAGTTTGGTAGAAAACGTAGCAGGAAGTGAATTCTTAAAATTTTTCAGTCCTAGGTGCTTATGCTGCTTTTAAAGACTGTTAGCGAATATGGGGGCACCTGGGTGGGTTGTTGGTTAAGCGTCTGACTCGTGATTTTGGCTCAGGTCATGATCTCAGGGTCAGGAGATCAAGCCCCATGTTGGGCTTCACACTCATCGAGGAGTTTGCTTGAGATTCTCTCTCTCCTTCTGCTTCCCCTGACTCTCCGAGCCCTCCTGGCCCACTCATGTTCCTGTGCTCATAGATAAATAAATCTCAAAGAAAGAAAGGAAGAAAGAAAGGAAGGAAGGAAGGCAGAAAGAAAGAAAGGCAGAAAGGAAGAAAGAAAGAAGGAAAGGAAGAAAGGAAGAAAGAAAAAGAGGCAAAGATAGTTTTCTGTCATGTGCCTTTTCCCACAAAGAACTAGTAGAATAAGACTCAGGACCTTTGAAGGAATGCTAGTCTGCCTTGGAGATGAAGAGTTTATCGGTGGGTCCCTGCCTGCTGGAAGAATAGGCTTTCTCTCTGTTTAGCCTTTCACTTTCCTTGTGTTGTTTATTTGGAGGCTGGGGGAGAAGACACTTCGTTGGGAATATTTCATGCTTAGTTGATTTTTTCCCCCCAATGTTACATACTGTCCCTCCTACCTCACGGGGGCTTTTTTTTTTTTTTTTTTTAATTTTATTTATTTATTTGACAGAGAGAGATCACAAGTAGGCCGAGAGGCAGGTAGAGAGAGAGGAAGGGAAGCAGGCTCCCTGCTGAGCAGAGAGCCCGATGCGGGGCTCGATCCCAGGACCCTGGGATCATGACCTGAGCTGAAGGCAGAGGCTTAACCCACTGAGCCACCCAGGTGCCCCCTCACGGGGGCTTTTTAAGGTAATTTAGACCCAGGTGTCAATCAACATGTGTGTACTTTACAGTGTACGGAGTACTTGTATGGATTCCCTCTTTCGGCATTTGAGTTTGCCATTAAATATTATTTTTGCTATTAGAGAGGATGTGAGTTAGAGGTTGAGCTAAATTAAGCTAGTTAGAATCAACGGGGGAAAGCCCTGTTTAAAGTTATCTCTTTCTAGAATTGGATGCAAGCTACAAGTGCATTTGGTGAAAGGTGCTCACAGAATTTCTGTTAAAAGTAAATTTATTCTTCCTTCTGTTATAGGAGATAACTCTCTCTCTTTTGAATGTTAAAAAGGTATATATATTCAAAAGAAAAACATTATCTGATTTAAACTGCCATATATTCATAAAGCACTTACATTTCCCACTCCATGTAAAACTGCTGTTCTGTAACCTTATGTTATGGTTATGTTTCTGGTTTCATATGTTTTTTCTGTATATTTCTGGTTCTTAGAGCCATGATGCTTGAATTTTTAGAGAGCAGTGAGTGGTTCAAGTAAACTTAGGTTAATTTATATAAGAACTTAATGTTCTTCCAGAATGATAGTAGTCACCACTTTCCCTTACTTCCCCAAAGTAGGGAAAAGGAAGGTTTTAAAAATATTTTTTTCCTCTTCACATAGCCAGACTGCAGAAGCCTTGCGTTTGAAGTTCAGTTCTCTTTTGCCTGTTGTGAATAAATGTGCGTGAAATTTGGAGAAGAGTTTTCTCTTCCAAAAAACAGCCCCTTTCTCAGAAATAAGTACTTCTCTGCAATTAAAGTCTGCTACTTAATCCTTTGACACTTAATAAATTCTGTGGGAAAAATATTTGTTCACCTGAAGATACAGGCTAGTGACAACAGGATCTTCAAATGTGTAAAATCTTAAAGACTGATTAATAGCTCTCTTGCCTTGGGAGAGGATTGTGTGAATAATATAAGAAAGGAATCTTTGTATTTGAGTATGGAGCATCTTTTTGTTTATAAGTTCACCGAGTTATGAGGAATTGCACTAATATTTGAATAATTTATTAAGGATATAGTTTCAAGTGCACTTTAGTTTCAGTAGGAATAATTTTACTTTTAAAAATTTTTCAAAAACATGGTGTGTATTTAATACATTTCTTGGCAGAAGCCCAACAAGTAAGCATTTGAGGCAGAATAGAACCACAAAGAGAAGCCTTGAGAATTTGCCCCTGACTGGTCCTGTTTGCTTACTTAGGTAATTTGTTTTGATACAGTAAATGCCTCCTGGAGGCTGTAAATAATATGTGTACGCCGGCCTTTCATGTTCATGGGTAGTTCTTTGTTAGAATCAGTGTTGATAGATTAAAGTTCTAAGAGTTGATTAATAGGGGGCGCCTGGGTGGCTCAGTGGGTTAAAGCCTCTGCCTTCGGCTCAGGTCATGATCCCAGGGTCCTGGGATCGAGCCCTGCATCGGGCTCTCTGCTCGGCAGGGAGCCCATTTCCCTTCCCCTGTCTCTCTGCCTGCCTCTCTGCCTACTTTGGATCTCTGTCTGTCAAATAAATAAATAAAATCTTTAAAAAAAAAAAGAATTGATTAATAGAAGTATAGTTACATTTTTGATGTCATGTTATAAAACTGTTTACTTAAAATGTGCTGTCAATCTTTGTCCTCAGAGTTTACTCGTATCAATATGGGTGTTCATAAAGCCTTGCAACTATTAAGGACCAAAGTGGACTTGCAGCATTTTTGTGGCTATGTTACCATGTTGAATGCTTCTAGCCAGCTTGCGCACCGAAAACTCAGTGATGCTTCTGATGAACGAGGTCAGCCAACAGTTGGGTTCTTTGAATTAAGATCATTTTGTGGAGTTGATCACAGTGTTAATACTTAAGAAGCAGGGAAACTTCCGTGGGGATGTTGAATTATTTTATGCTTGGTGTTTTTTCACTAAGATGGCGGAGTATTCTGTGACATTATTTGGACAAACCAGTTGTTGGGATGGAGAAAACACTACGCGCCCAGCTAAAGGGGTGCTAGCCTGGGGTTGGAGTATAGAATGGGTGTGGGGTGTTAGCCCTGTCATCTCTGTAGGTTTTAATTTAAGTCCTTTTGTGGGGTGATGGCTTCAAGACTTCAGTCTCTGTGTAAAACTGTTTCTCAAGTAGAATGAACAGTTTTTCCCATTGAAGCTTTCTCTTTCTGTCAAAGGCATGACTGTCTCAGTGACCCAGGCCTGTAATCTTAATCTTTGTCTCTTCCTTCTTTTGCCATGATGGCCGTTTAGTTTCCACATTCTGTGAATCAGTCTTTAAAAATGTCTCTCATATCCTGTCTTCCCTTCTCCGTTTTACATTCGCCGTGAAGGTCACGCTGGTTTGCGTCTCAGTCATCTGACCATGAGCTGTTGGAGCCTTGTCCTGCTCGTTAGCCTTCCTGGCCTCATTCTCCTTCCTCTGTCTCCACTCTAGCCTTCATGCTAGAAAATCAGACAACAGCTGATTTTCCTTTTAATTAAAAAATGTATTTTCCCATCACCTTCTGCTTACTGATTGTTTCTGTTCTGGAAGAATTTTGTCTTGTATGTGGCTTTGGTACCAGCTCTGGTCTGTGACTCTAGAAAACCTTTCAGTTCAAACATCTGCTGTTGATAGATGTTGCTTCTCTAAGCCTCTTAGCGTGGAATCCTGAGTAAATATGGTCCATTGCTCGATGTCCAGTGGATTGGCTTGGCTCCCTTTGAGTTACATATCCAGCCTTGGTCCTTTACCTTTGGCCGGAGATCTGAGTAAATCTTAACAGTTGGCCGCCACATATCACAGGGCATTTTCCAAACGGGTATGGGTAAGGCAGTCATTTCAAAGCATGTCTGCTACAGTCATTTTTATTTCTTTCACCGCTCAAACATTTATGGAGTACCCACTTAGGTGCTGAAAGGATTGAAATTACTAAGACCTAAGGAAGGGAGACAAGCCAGTGAACCAGCCTGCCTTGTAGTGTTAAGAGGCTGCGATAGAGCTTGGCAATGGCTTAATGGGCTGCCGTAGGACAGAGAAGGTGCATCTTGGCCCATCTGAGCTATCAGAGGAGGCTTCTTAGAGAAGGTAAAGTTTGAACTCAGTTTTGAAAAGTGAGGCTTTGGGTACATAAAAGATGTTTGTTTATTTGGACAGTAGCAGCCTTTCAGGCAGAGGGAACCAGGCAGAAGAATAGCTCTTCTGGGCCAAAAGAAAGAATTTGTTGGAAAGTAGTAGAAAATGAGAGTAGAGAAGTAGGTAAGGTCAGGAGATCTTGGAGGATCTCATGTGCTAAAAGATAGGAGGCCTCCGAATTTTGAAGAGGAGTGACATAATCTGACTGCATGTTTCCATGGGGATAGAAGCGACTTTGGTAATGATCTAGGTAGAAGTCTGAACTTGTGTTCTGACTTTAGAGTCCTCGTTTCCTGGGGCCCGGGTTTCCCCACTTCGGCGCCACGTACGTTCTGAGCTGGACAGTTCCGTGTTGTGGGGCCTGTCCCGTTCGTTGAAGTATGTTTAGCTCCCTGGATATCAGTAGCGTCCCTGTCCCCATGCATGACAGCTGCATCGGTCTCCAGACATTGTCAGATGTCTTCTGGGGGGCAGGATTGCCCCCTATTTGGGAACAGCTGCTATAGGCTGACAACCCTTCGTTGTTCTCCATTGTCATTCCTGTTGCTGGAAGTCTTCTCTCCCTTTAGGGCTGATGGACGACTTGCGCCAACTACGAGAATCCTAACGTTGTGTATGTCTTTTCATTGCAAGGAGAACCTGATTTGGCTTCTGGCTCGGATGTAAATGGGAGTACAGAGTCATTTGAAATGGTCATTGAGGAAGCAGCTATAGACTCGTCAGCAAAACAAAACTCTGGTACGGCTTTAAGAATTATTTGCAGTTTTAGGGGCACCTGGGTGGCTCAGTGGGTTAGGCCTGTGCCTTCAGCTCAGGTCATGATCTCTGGGTCCTGGGATTGAGCCCCGCATTGGGCCCTCTGCTCAGAAGGGAGCCTGCTTCCCCTCACTCCCCGCCTGCCTCTCTGCCTACTTGTGATCTCTCTCTCTGTGTCAAATAAATAAAATCTTAAAAAAAAAAAAAAAAGAATTATTTGCAGTTTTAGACTAGCTTCAGACTAGCTTCAGAGATTTAACTCTTCTGTTAAATCATTTGGATGTCATTTGTCTGCTCTGATTATCCATAGTGGGCCTTTTATTTTAGTAAGTATTTTATTTTAGTAAGTATTCACTAGGAAACAAGTTTATGTATTTAGAATAACAATGAAAATGTTACAAAAATAGGACCTGAGAACGACGACTTTAGTTTCATTTTTCCTGTGTTAAATTCTTTCATCTTGTTGATGTCTTACAGTGTCTCTCTCTCTCTCTCTTTTTTTTTTTTTTTGGTAAAAGGCCATTTTGGGCATCTGGTGAAAACTCTGTGCCTTCCCCCTAGAAGCATGTACTTACTCAGTAAAGATTCTTTCCTGTTGCAGAGATCACTGACCCACCCTAAGTCCTCTCCCCTGTGAAGCCCATTGGTGGACCCCAGGGGTAGGAGGAATCTGAAAATTTCTGGATGTCTGTTAAGAAACCCTGGTCAGTTAAAAATTTGTAAATACGTATATGATCAATAACTATAAATTGTCTTGTAGTTGCCACAACAGAAGCAGATTGGGTTCCTCTCGAACTGTGCTTTGGAATTCCATTGTTTAGTTCAGAATTAAACCGGAAAGTTTGTAGAAAAATTGCTACACATGGCCTTTGCAGAAAAGAGAGGTAAGGGTTTATGTTCACTGTCATCTTTTCATCCGTGATGCTTAGCCTGTCAGTTGCCACATCTTATTTTCCTTTATTTCAAACATGAGCATAGTAATAGCCTTGTGTCTATTTGTTGATTGTATAAAGATTGCTAGTTTAAGGGTTTTACTATATTTTTCAAAATTAAACTTTAGCATCTCAAAACTTTGACACGTGCAAACACTGGGGGCACATATTTTGGTTAATTTTAATTATGTTAACTTAGTTACCCGGATTTGGTTAGAGTGTGATATAAATTAGCATGCTTATGTGAGATCGTGCCTAGTGTTTGTAATATGTATGTCTCTGTAGAATGTTTCCCTTGTGTACTTCTGTCCCTCTGAGCAAACACACTCAAGTTATGTCTTGTAAATAGTGATTCTTTCGTTGGAATTATAGCTGAATTTCTAAATTTTCTTCCGTTTCGCATTTTCTAAAGTGAGCATGTATTACTTATCAGAGATGACGTGGAGGTTTGTCTTGCATGCTGACTCTGATCCATTCATTGGGAGCCGTTGCTAAGAGGCAGTGTTGGAAAAGTTTTACGACTGTTGAGCAGGGAGGAATGTCCTTGAATCTGACTGTCGTGGCAAGGGTGTCTGGGAGAATGGATGTCCACAAGTCTCCTTGACTTCTTCATTTAAGAAAACAAAGTTGGATAATAATTCATTCAGTTGACTTAATAATATTTTATCAGAAGATTAAAAGTACTCAGTCGACACAAATTTCAGTAATTCTCCAAAAGTCATCTACATGAATAAAAAAGTAGAAATACGATACAGCTTTAAAGATTGCCACCATAATTGTTACCGGTTTCCATATTTGAAAAATACTTGATTTTGGTGGGTTGATATATAGTTATTCTGTCAGACCTTTTATCAGGATGTATTTTAAAATAAATTTGGGTATTTGAAGTTGGTATCATACTTGTCATTCCTACTTGAAAAGTTCTATTTCATTTAACATTTGCATTTGCTGCTAATAGTTTAAGCTTTTGCTAACGGTAACTTCTCAGTTTTGGTTTTATACGTGATTTTTTATTTCAAAATGGTTTTTTTAGGCATTATTAACTCCCAGTTTTAATATTATTAGATTGATGAGAACCATGGCAATTTTCATTGCCCCCAGGACAGTTTCATTGATGAGAACCGTTGAAATGTTTAAAAAAAATTTATGTGATTAATTGGAATATATTTACATACATAAATGCATTTAAGTTGCCGAAATTAAACTCTTGCGAGATATTCGTTCTTCTCATTAAATTTGTTTTAAACCTTTGCCCCTGTTTTTCAGCCTTCAGAACCTCTTACATTCCAGTAGAAAACTCTCTCTACAGGTCCTTAATTTTGTTCACTCATTCCAGGTAACAAAATTTTAAAAATATGGTATTTGCATAGAGCTTTAGAGGATAGGATGCAGAATACTTCCATGTTTGTCTTGGGTCTCCACAGTAATGAAATAAGCATTAATTTTCATTGATAAATAAAGATGCTGAGATTTAGGAAGTTCATTTTCTTGCACATGATTTACTGGCTGGGTGGAGAAGGTCTAAAGCTGGGACTCTGTTCTGTGCCAGGGCATCGTTCAACAGAAACGTGTTACGTGGCTCCCGTGCTGCTTAACTGCGTAACCACACACTAGGTGCTGGTTGCTGGGTATGATCTGCCTCTGTTAACTGCAGTAGTTCTCGGTTGGGGCTGAGGCGGTTGTTTTGTAGTTCAGGCCAGTGCTGTAGACCTTTTGTCTTCCCCTCCCCCAGGGAAAGAAAGGGTACCCCGTAGATTTGATTTGTGGATAAACTTTTGGACAGAAATATTTCTGTTCAGAATATCTGATCCAATGTTACAAAATCAGTATTTTGGAGTTCTGTTTCATTTATTTTTTTCAATAACTACTTGAGGCTGCCAGACCCTTTACTAGGTGCTGGGGAAGCAATGCTGTCCAGGACACTAGTAGAATTTATAATGATGTTTGAGAGACAGAAGATAGTGGAGTGAACATTGAAATATGTAAGTAATTACGGATTTCAGTAAGCACTTTGAAAGGAGCCAGATTCCTTGGGATCTGATGGAAGCCAAAGGGAGACCTAGTTTAAATGGACAGAGATGATACATAAGCTGAAACTTCCTAAGGGATGGAAAAGAGTATGTTGTGCAGAGCTTAGTAGGAGCAAAGGTCCTGTATCAGGAAAACACTCTGTGTCCAAGGGAATGAAAGGGAATGAAAGAAGGCTGGTGTGGCCGAAGCCTCATGAAAGTGGTTGGGGAGGTGGGGCATTGGCAAGAGGTGAGGTGGAAGAGGAGGGGAGGCAGGGCCTTCTAGAGGATAGTAAGCAATTTGTATTTTATGCTCGAGTGCAAAGAGAAATTATTAAAGACTTTTAAACAGGAATGACATTATTTCTGATCAACTTTTTTAAAAGATTAGTTACTATTTGGAGAGCAGATTAGAAAGGGACAAGCTTGTTCAGAGACCATGTGAGAGTTTTTGGTAGCTGAGCACCCTCTTGAATTAAAAATACCCCCAAATTCTGCATGTATCCATAATAAAAGTTTATTACCCATGTGTACTGTTATATCAGTAAATTATGTATATTTATAAAACATAACACAAAAATAGAAATTCTGCAAGGATGCAGTAGTTGATACAGGATTTCTAAAATTTTTGTAGTCCCATACCCCATTTTGGAGACCACTGGCCTAGACTGTGGTGCTGGGCTGTGGTGAATGAATAAAGTGTTGGAGGCAGATTGCTGGAAGCTGGCAGTTAATTCAGGGTGAGGAAAAGATCGACAGTGAAAGGAAGGGAGGAGTCAGGCATGATTCTCCAGTTTCTGGACTAGCTTGGTGTGTGGAGTAGGGAGGGCAGGGGAAGAGCTTGGAGGGTGAAGGTTATGGACCTGGTAGGTGTGGAATGGATGGCGAAACACCCAAGAGCCGATGTGAGGGTGTGAGCCTGGAGTCCTGGGGAAAGGTCTGCCCTAAATACGTGAATCTGAGAGCCCTGGGAGCGCAGGGAATGTTCTGGTGCTTAATGCTATGTGAGGGGTTTTTAGAGATTATCTAAGATTGAACCTTTGTCTTCTCTTACAGTCTCATAGCCCATTATTTCTATTTATTTCTAAGCACTTACCACAGTCTGACTTGTACTAGCCATTATCGCATTGCGGTGATACCTGTCGCTGGTTATCTCGGGGTCTGTGAGGTAGAGATCTGCGTCTCCCGCAGTGTTTTGCGTTCCAGAAACATTTCTTGGGTCAGCAAAGTCTGTATTTATTATGGGCTGTATGAAGTAGTTTGGTAAAATGTTGGTTAGAGGATTTTTCTCCTTTCTTTGTCTCTCAGGAAGGTGCTTCAACCCTGGACGTTCCCGCCGAGGCCGGCTTTTCCAGCGTGCTCTCGCAGCCCTGCGCCGAGTCGGGCGTTCCACTTCCGGCAAAGAACTTAATATTTAAAGATGGCGTCTTGTCAGAGTGGAGTGGACGGTCACCTTCCTCGCTTCTCATTGCTAATGTCCATTCGCAATAATTTGGTTCCACCCTTCGTTGCTCACACTTCTGCCTTTTTTCTTTCTTAACGTTAGCTTTATAGTGCCAGCCCTTAAAAGGCATCGTGCTGCGGCAGCGCAGTTCACGCTTCACTGATGTTCAACTGATGTTGGGGAACGGGTTCGCGTTTTCTGAAGTTTCCCTCATTATGGCACCTCCTCGCGTCACAGAGCTTTTTAGCAGCCTGCGCTGTATTTTTTACCTTGAGACAATCTGCATCTCTTTTATAAAACTGAGGATATGTACTTTATAGGCTTTACGATGACTGTTACCGTTTATAAGCAGTCACTATGAATACTGCAGTGGTAATTTTATATGTTTATCAAACATAAATCTTGTTTAATTTTATATTTTGTTACCTACTCTTTAGGGGATCACGGGAAGAGGCGGAACTCTTCCCCTAAAAAGGCTTCTTGGTACTTTAAAGTAGCAAAACTATAAAACAATAAACATCCAGTTTTGAGAGGTGATACGATGGGGCATTAAGAATTTCTGTGGATGTCTGTAAATTATGTATGAGTTGAACGTTGTCGAAGGTATGTAAATCAGCATAGTTATGTATAACTTAACCTTGATTTATAAGGTCTTAACTCAGACTATCACTATACATTGACATCTCATGAGAAGCTTTGAAAAACATTCTATTTTTAAACCAATGTTTATATGTGGACTTCCGTTGTCACTCTGGGCTTTATATTTTCATAGAGTCTTTATGGAAGAATAGAATTTATTTTCCACTCTTGTAACTGTGGCTGCTGCACGTTTTCACCCAGACTGATTCTTTGTTTAGTAGCTTTACCAATGAATTGTTACGAAATCGAATTTGATGTTTTGAAACCAAGGATTGTGATTTTAGGTTAGAATTACATATTAGAGGCATTAAGGCTATGTCTTCTGATAAAAAACACTTTGGTGATAAACCTGCTTTGAAGACTTTCTTAGGCAATCTGGATCTTAAATTTATGTGACTAGTTTTGGAGGAACTGAGAAAAATTTGAGTAATTTCAAAATGTTTCTTTGGTCATTGGTTCTTTTAGATATCAAATGGTAATAAGAATAATTGGAATCAGTTTCTAGATTTTCTAAGTTACTTTCCTTGGGAAGTTTGTGCAGTGTTATAGTTTAGTGTAGCTCTTCTCATAGGATAATGGTTTGCTCGTTTAAAACTGTAACCAAACTAACTGGTCAGACAACATATATATCTAAAATACTAAAAGCGTTAGAAAATTCGGGAATGTTAGAACCTAAACATTTTTGCTGATAATTTTTGTTATTTAGAGAACTGGTATTTGTGTACTTAACATACTTCTGGAAATATATGCCTTTCTTAAAACTGTTAACATAACCATGCATTCAATACCATGGCCTACCTATAGAATGGAATATCTCGGAGCAGGTCACCTGTGACACACAGTCAGTGCTGTGTTTTGGGGTAAGTGCAGTAACGTTTCGTTTTCTACTTTGTCTTATATGAGGTAGAAATCAAGTGTATGTTATAAATGTTTGTCTATAAAAGGAAAAAAACATACTAATATTAAAATAATTTCTTATGACTGTGAATCACTCATTTATTTTTCCAATAATTGATATTGTACATTCCTAGTGCTATTAGGTATGTATGTAACTTTTATAGTTTTTCAACAGAAAGTTGTAAGTATTTCACTTGATCAGGGCTCTTTAATCTCATTTTCATCTGCTTTGTTTATATTAACTGTAGTTATTTTATTCCTGTGTTAATCTAAGCCTACAGTAATGACATGTACACTAATAAAGAATCGAATAATCTGTAGTTGTTGGCGGGGAACCCAGTGGGTGGAAAGTTGAAAACTTAAAATATGGGAGTGATTTGCTGCTGTATTTCCTTTGAGAGATAATGGAGGAAGAATTGGAACCTAATAGTGATCATGAATTTTAGGAAAAGTACTGGCAAAACAGGTGGGCAACTCCCATGAATGAGGAAAGGTTCTGAGTCTCAGTTGAAAAACCTCTCATACTTTTAAGGAGGGAGAATCTGCTTTTTAGAGCTGTTAGTAAAATGTGAAAGCTGCTTTTGTGCTTTGCTTTATGAATTTGGCTTTGTTTCATCCGTGTGTTAACTCGTGGAAAGATGCAGCTCCTAATCCTACAGGTGTTGATCCAATTCAACAAAACGTTAGATTTTAAGTGTAGACTTCATTTGCCAAAGAAGACTTATGAAAGAATTTTAAAGTAATTTCATTTGGCTTTGTGCTACCTCCCCTTTCTTTTCTCCCCTTAACGTACTTAAACCGCGGGAAACATTCTCTAGAAACCAAGAGAAAAATATCCCAAAGGACACAGAATTTGGTGTGGTACAGTTTCACCTCTCAGGTGGGTCTACAGAAATGGGACTTTGTGTCATTTAAAACCATACCTGATTTTCTCAATTCCTTTATTTCATTTTAAATCTGTGATCAGATGATTTTGTATTCATTTTTGGGGGGAATATCAGTTTCTTTTACTTGATGTTGTCAATCTTCTCTGCCATTCATGTTTCTCTTTTATGTTCAGTGTTTCAAATACAATGTGTATTTAAAGATTTTAAAGTACCACAACTCTGTAACTGAGTACAGTGGCTTGTTTTCTGGTATGATGTTAATATTCTGCAACAAAATGTATAAAGTGTTGTCAATTTGATTATTGACACATATAATATGTTTACAAATAAACTGTGGTGTTGATCAAATTACTGCAAAAATGTGTATATAATCTCTAAGTCTCTTTCTTAATATTAAATATAGCCGTGCGTTCAGTGCTGTGGCTTTTCTTTACTTTTCTTTAATGAGCTTTTAATTTCAGCTTTAGAAGACATTTCGGATTTATAGGAAGGTTGCAAAGATAGTCCAGAGATGTTTTCTACACCCTTCCCCAAGCTTCCCCTAATGTCACCACTGTATAATCTATGGCATATCTGTCAAAACTCAGAAAACTCAGACAATACTGTTTACTATACTATGGACTTAATTTGGTATTTATCTGTCTTCCGCTAATGTCCTTCTGCTGTTCCAGAATCCGATCTAGAACACTGCATTGCATTTCTTTCGTCATCGATGCCTCCTTTGTCTCTTCCAATCTGTGACAGTTTCTCAGTCTTTCATGACCTCAACACTATGAAGAGTGCTGGTTATTATGTAGAATGTTCCTTAATAAATGGGTTTGTCTGATGTTTTCTTGTGATTAGATTTGAGGTTATGCTTTATCAGGAAGGATACACAGAGGTGCTGTGCCCTTCTGCACCGTTTCACATCGTAGGGTACATGATGTCTGTAGGCATTACTGGTAATAGCCCTTCATTGGCTAAGTTGGTGTCTGCTGGGAATTTCCACTGTAAAGTATTTTCCCACTTCCTGTACTTTTTGCCTTTGGAAGTAAATTACTAAGTCTAGCCCACAGTAAAGTGGAGGAGGGTAGTATCTATATACATTACTTAGAATTTTTCTTAAAATTTGTTCCTCTTTCCTATTTATTTGATCCTTTGTTTATATTAGTAATGTGATCATGGCTATTTATTTTATACTTAGGTTAAAATCTAATACTGTTATTTATTGTGTAAATTGTTTCAACTTGGGCTGTTGAGCACTCTTTGAGGTTGATGCCTAAATTCTTTTGATGTGCCTTCCTTTTTTTTTTCTTTAAAGACCATATTTTTACTTTCTAGCACTGCCAAGTATTATCTTGATGCAGGCCCTAGAATTAGCTGTTTCTCCAAAGGAACACTGGTTGCTTTTATCGAAGACTGGTATTTAGATACCAAGATCTGGGTGTTGGGTGTGCTTACTGCTACTGCTTCTACGGTTTTTTGGTGAAATGTGCTAAGAGTTACTATATGCGTACTACCCAGTATATGGTACACATCTCTATAATTATTTCTTGATATATCTGTATATATGTTGAATTAAACATTCAGTTATACTCACTGAACCAGCACTGCAGGATTCATTTTAGTTTTGCCTCTGTGTTCGTTTATAACTTTTTTCTCTAAGAGTGAGAACCCTGGCTTCTTTATAATTTATTTGCTTATTTGTTGAACCTTGGAATATTTCTAAAGTGGTTTTGGAATAGTCAAGTTCTACCCCTGTGAGAAAAATGGCCCCACTGGAGTACAGTATTGAAGTAAGTGTTTTGTCCTGAGTCTTATACTAGCTACTCCAAGCACCATTTTCCAAGGCAACTTAGTTCAGCTCCTGTTATTTCCCACTTCCTTCATTAAGGTTATGTCAGACATTTGGAAAACAGATTGGCTTGTCACTCTGTGCCTTCCATCTGGGGCCTCTTACATCTCAGTTGAGTTTTTCATACTGTAAAATTCACTCTGTATGGCCTTTGACAAATGTATGGTATGTTCCCACCGTCACAGTACTGTATAGAATAGTCCCATCACCCTAAAAATTCCTCTCTTACTCCCCACCATCACAACCACTTACCTCTTTTCCATTCCTATAATTTTGCTTTTTCTGGAATGTCATAAATGGTGGGATTATACAATTCGTAGCTTTTTAAAATCTGGCCTTTTTTGCAATGTAGAATGCATTTTAAATATGTGTTATATGAATCAGCTCATTCTTTCTGTTGCTGAGTACTTCGTTGTATGGATGTATCAAGGTTTATCTTTTAATGGTCACGTGTAGGTCTGTAGTATAAACATAATTCGTTTTGCTGTGGGATTGGTGACTCATTTGCTAAGTGTATATTTAACTTTGTAAGAAACTGCCACACTGTCTTCTCAAATGACTGCCATTTTGCTTCCCACCAGCAGTGAAGCAGAATTTCTGTTATAGTGGTAACTTTGTGGCTGAAATGTTCATTTCCTCATGAAAAACGATGTTGAGCATCAGTCTTCTCATATGCTTATTTTCCATTCATATATTTTGGCTGAAGTGCCTATTCAGATCTGTTGTCCATATTTTAAAAAGTTGGGCTTTACTGGGGCTCCCGGATGGCTCAGTCTGTTAAGCCTCTGCCTTTGGTTCAGGTCATGATCCCAGTGAGCCGCTCCACTAAGTGGGGAACCTGCTTCTCCTCCCTCTGCAACCCCAGCCCCCACTCGTGCTCGCTCTCTATCTACACTCTCTGTCCAATAAGTAAATAAAAATATTTTGAAAGTAAATAAATAAAAATTGGGTTTTATTGCTGAGTTTTAAGAGTTCCGTAAATTATTCTGAACACAGCTCCTTTGTTAGATGCGTGTTTTCCAAATATTTTCTCCCAGACTGACTTGTCTTTTCACTCTCTTAACATTTCTACTAAGGAACAAAAGTTTCTGATTTCTTCTTCTTCTTCTTTTTTTTTTTTAAATTATTTATTTATTTGACAGAGATCACAAGTAGGCAGAGAGGCAGGCAGAGAGAGGAGGAAGCAGGCTCCCTGCCGAGCAGAGAGCCTGATGTGGGGCTCCATCCCAGGACCCTGAGATCATGACCTGAGCCAAAGGCAGAGGCTTTAACCCACTGAGCCACCCAGGTGCCTCAAGTTTCTGATTTTGATGGAAATCTACTTTATTTTTTTTTAATGGGCCGTACTTTTGATGCGGGTACCTAAAAAACTCATCACAGACCCAAGGTCATGCAGATTTTTTGTTTTCCTCTGAAAGTTTCATAGTTTTATGTGTAGGTCTTGGACACATGTTGAACTAATTTTAATATATGGGATGAGATTTATGTCGAGGCATGTTCATGCATGTGGACATCCGGTTGATAGAATGCCATTTCATGAGAAGACTCTTCTCCTTATTGCATTGTCATTACACCTTTATCAAAAATCAGTTGATAAACCTGTAGACAGAAGGTGGACTGGTGGTTGCCTGAAGTGGAGATGGGGAGTGAGTGCAAATGGGCATACGTCATTTTGGGGTGCTGGAAATGTCACCAAAAAATAATTGGATTGTACACTTAAGCCAATTTTATCATGTGTAAGTTATCCTTCAATAAAGTTATTTGAAAAAAAATCTGTTGACATTTGTGTGGGTTGTGTTTCTGGGCCCGCTCTTCTGTTCCTTTGATCAGTGTGTCTGTCCTTTGAATACCACGCTGAAACTGGATAGCAGGAGTCCTCCCCACTTTGTTCTTTTTTTTTTTTTTTTTTTTTTTTTTGAGAATCGATGAATTGATTTTAACTCTTCTAGTTCCTTTGCCTTTCCACGTAAATTTTAGAATTGGCTTGTCAATATCTATACACAAGCTTTGCAGGGATTTAAATCAAAGTTCTATTGAATCTATAAACAGGAGAATTGACACCCTAACAAATACCTATTTATAACTTGGGGAGGGGGCTGAGTACTTTTGTAGGTTTCAGCATACATAAACTACATATTTTGTTAGATTTCTTCATAAGTCTTCATTTTTTTGTGCTGTTAGAAATTTTGTAAGATTCCAAGTTAAAGTTACTCATTGCTTATATATAGAAATATGACTGGTACATTTCAGTTTTGCTAAGCTCACTTAGTGAAATTTATAGTTGATTCTTGGAGATTTTCAACATAGATGATTATGTGGTCTCTGAATAAAGACATTTTATTCTTTCTAATCTGCATGCCTTTTAGTTCTTTTTCTTGCATTATTTCACTGACCAAACTACCAGTATAATATTGAATAGGAGTTATGAGAACAGACATCCTTGCCTTGTTCCCCCATCTCAGGGGAAAAGTATTCAGTCTCTAGCTATTAAGTGTGATGTTAGCTGTAGAATTTTAAGTAAGTGACCATTAGGTTAAAGAAGTTCCCTTCTACATACTGAGGTGTTCCCCTTTTTTCTTTTCTTTATCATGAATGGATGTTGGATTTTGTCTTTGTTTTCATTGTATTCAATGAGATGATTAAATGGTTTATTTTTATTTAGACTCAGTATGGTGAATTATGTGTGAGTTTGTGAGCATTTATTGTACGCAGTACAGGCATATCTCATTTTATTGCTCACCACTTTATTGTTTCACAGATAATTAACATTTTTTACAGATGGGAGGTTTGTGGCAACTTTGGGTTGAGAAGGTTATTGGCACCATTTTTCCAACAGTGTTTGCCCGCTTTGTGTCTCTGTGTCATATTCTGGTAATTCAGTGTTTCAAACTTTTCCACTGTTACATTTGTGATGGTGATCTGTGATCAGTGGTTACAACTCACTGACAGCTCAGATGATGGTTAGCATTTTTTAGCAACAAAGCTTTTTTAAAGTAAGGTATATACTTTGGTTTTTTTTTAAGATTTTATTTGACAGAGAGATCACAGGCAGGCAGAGAGACAGACGGCGGGGTGGGGGAAGCAGACTCCCTGCTGAGCAGAGAGCCCGATGCGGGACTCGATCCTAGGACCCTGGGATCATGACCTGAGCTGAAGGCAGAGGCTTAACCTACTGAGCCACCCAGGCGCCCAACATTGTTTTTTTTAGACAGTGCTATTGCACACTTAATCGTCTCCACTACAACCCAGCAATTGCACTACTGGGTATTTACCCAAAGGTAAAAATAAAGTGATCTGAAGGGTCACCTGCACCCCAATGTTTATAGCAGCAATGTCCACAGTAGCCAAACTGTGGTAAGAGACAAGATAGCCATTGACAGATGAATGGGTAAAGAAGATGTGGTATATTCTATACAATGGAATATTACTCAGCTATCAGAAGGGATGAATGCTTACCATTTACATTGATGTGGACTATGCAGAGTGAAACAAGTCAGAGAAAGACAATTACTGTATAGTTCACTCATGTGGAATAGAAGAAACCTGGCAGAGGACCCTATGGGAAGGGAGGGAAAACAGAATGGGAAGTCATAAGAGAGGGAGAAAAACCACCATAGGAAACAAACAGTTGCTGGAGGGAGATGGGCAGGGAGGATGGGGTAATTGGTTGGTGGAGGGCATGTGATGTGATGAGTATTGGGTGTTATACGAAACTGATAAATTATTGAACACTACATCTGAAACTACTGATGTGCTGTAAGTTGGCTAATTGAATTTAAATTAAAAAAATCATCTCCAGGATAATGTAAACATAACTTATATGCACTGGGAAACAAAAAACTTCATTTGATGTGATCGTTTTCACTTCATTGCAGTGGTCTGTAACCGACCTGTACTATCTCCAAAGAATGCCTGTATTCCCTCACTGTCCTTTTAGTCAGTGGGATCAGAAAGTAAAAAGATTAAGTGAGGTAAATTCCAAAGAGAAAATGTTTGAGAATTGCCCAGAACAGATGAAAGGAGTCCAGAGGTACAGGAATCCAATGCAAATCAATAATGAATTTAAGAAACAGTTCAATCACATCACAAAAATAGTTAGAGAAAATGTTAGCCTACATAATGAATCCAGCAAAACTTTCAACAACAAAGGTGAAAAAGATATTTTCAAAAATAAGTTACTAAGTTTATCATTAGACTCACCTAAGAAACCATTCAAAATTCAAATAAAGGAGAATTACTCCAGAAGGAATTTCTGCAATATGGGGAATGCTGCACACAGATGTTGATTAAAATGTTGATTAAAATTTTTTTCTGGATAAAAATAAAAACTATGTTTAATATGGGAGAGTAAGAAAATAGGACTAAATGGCATGTGAGTCAGATGTCTTACATAGAGTTAAAGCACTCCACTCATATTTTTTAGAGTAAATAATCTTCGATTTGCACACCCAACACTTATATTTACTAAATGGCAAATGGGGTGCTAGTTTGTAAGGGTGGATTGGTGAATTAAAAATTCTGAACGTCATAGAGCTTACATTCTAGTTAGTGGGGACAGACAGTAAACAAAACAGCATGCACATTAGAGGGTGGTAATTCTATGGGAAAAAAAGAAAAGTCATGGTGAGAAGGATGGGAAACACTAAGGCCTGGGATTCTAGTTCACCCGTAACTGGTCAGAGAAGACCTCAAGAGGAGGGAGACATTTAAACAAAGACTTAATGAGAATGTGAGCCATGTAGACATCCGGGGCAGAGCATTGAGGGAGAGAAAACCATCTGGGCAAAGGCTCTCAGGTAGAAGCATGCATGGCATGTCCAAGGACCTTCAAGAAATGTGATGAGACTGGGTCAAGGGAGCTGGGGGGTTGCTGGACAGACCTGGTAGCAGGGGAGGGGGCCAACGGTTTGGTGTCCTGCACTTGGACTCAGGTGTGCAGTCACTAGGTTTCGAGCGGAAAAGCATACAGTGTGACGTTTTACCGATCCCTGGGGCTGGTATGTTGAGAATAAGGGGCAAGCATGGAATTTGCGTATGTGCAACAATCCATGTGTGAGGTACTGATTTCAAGAAGAAAAAAAGGCAATGTTTTTAGCAAATTGAGAGAAGAAAGGTGCTTTCTCAACCTGGTAAGATGTATGTAGTGGGGAAGTGTTAGAAAAACTCCCTTTGAATTCAGCAACTAGATTAACATACCCAGAATTCCTACTTTTATTAAATCATATGTGGGAGGTTCTAGCAGTGAAGTGAAAAAAAAAAAAAAAAGATTGGAAACAATGAAAGGAATAGCCATGATCCACAGATAAGGAAACTTGATATAGAAAACAAATTAACCTGGTAAACTATTAGGCTCAGTGGGGTAAGGCCTCTGCCTTTGGATCAGGTCATGATCTCAGGGTGCTGGGATCGAGTCCTGAGCCGGGAACCTCTGCTCAGCAAGGGGGCCTGCTTCCTCCTCTCTCTGCCTGCCTCTCTGCCTACTTGTGATCTTTCTCTGTGTGTCAAATAAATAAATAAAATCTTTAAAAAAGTAAATAAAATTCAGATGCATCTCTATTCACCAGGAATAAACAAAAATTAAATATTTTGAAAGGTACTAAATGGCAAAAACCTCAAGTTCCTAGCAATGAGGTTGTAAGAATTTATGCAACACTGCTACAAAGATCTTCTTTTGTCTATCAGCGTTTATGTAGAAAATAGAAGCCCCATTAGTTATTTTAACAGAGAAGTAAAATAGGGAAACAGTTTTTTGGGGAAA